GACCGATTGAAGGATGCTGAGCGTGCCGCCGAAAAGCGCAGCGAGTCATCGTCGAGCTGAGAAACCTTACTTTTAATTAAATGGCACGTCTTGAGTCGCTTTCTTTTGGAGTGGTATCCTGCTTTCTTAGTTCAGCCTTCGTGATTCTGATCAGTGGGTCATTGAACTCATTCTCGCGAATGCATCGATCGTGACATGTTGGGAGCGGAGCGCTGCTGGCAGTGCATGATTTTGACTTGTGACTCGGAGAGAAGTGTCGCCGACGACTTTCCTCCCTTTTGTGCTGTCTCGTTTCAATGTCTTGTTTGTCTCGTCTCTCGTCTCTTATTCCCTTTCATTTTCTTACCTCTTATTAAATTAATGAATACCCATGTTTGTTGTGAACCGGGGGAGTACTAGTATTAGGGAACTGAAGAGTCAGCCAGTTTTGGTGGTTTCGTACGGTGCTTATTTATACTAGTAGCATTCAATTGATGCACCAATGACTGCAATGAGTCTTATCGCCACTTATCCGCGCTAGCTTGACGTTGCAGCATGTCTGCCTCCAGTCGATCGAATAGAAATTCTGGGTAAGATCTACAGTGTACTAGTCGTCTACTACTAGGTAGTAGTATGCTTAGGTATGATGCTTGCGTGGTCCGAATGACCGCTCCAATGAAATCTCATGATTTTATCGTCATGTAATATTCGCTTTGCTCTGGTAAAATCTTCTGAACACTGATTAAGTATGGTCATTCCATCATGATATACATACAGGCACGATGCAAATAATGGCTTGATCCCAGGCCTGCTGTGACCATTGCCTCTCCGATTGAGCCTCGGTAGACAAATCCATCCGATCCTTTACTCCGTACGCCGCTAAGTCTGATTCTTTTCACGGAGCTGGTCCCTATTTCTTAAGAGATGCCAAAATTTTATTGCTCAGATGTGAAGGGTGTCAGCTTCCCTATGCCTGACTTGTTGTCAGCATGCCATTCTTGAGAAGCGCAGCTCAAATATGACCGGGTGTCCTCTGACTGGCTTCCATGACAATGTATTAGAAGCGTGACGAGTATGGTCTCACCGTGGGGGAATATAGCATCCCGTAGCATCAAGAACCCAGTTCAAAGACTGCTTTGCTTCCGTATCGAGGTGTTGCCCAATCTGCCTAATAAGCCTGGCTCCCCATTCACCCATCCACCAATGTTCTCTTAAGGAGTGAAGAATCACAGCAAAATGACCGAGGACAATCAGAGCAAACGGCTGTCGTTCTCTAAGCAAGTCAACGAATCGCGGTGGAATCTGAAAGATCCACTGAAATGTGGCAATCATGATCTCTCCGCCTCTTGCGAACTTGTCCAGCGACTCTCCTAAGTACTTGATGGTGGGACTATAAACATCACTCTCATGCGCCGGATTTTGTCGGGCCAAGGTCGCGTTCATTCTGAGAAGCGCCATTATAGCGAGTCGTGACGTGTCGGGCATGCGTGGCGGCGGATCGCTGGATTCAACTAATTCTTTCATTTCCCCTAACTTGACCCCGGTGATCATCGCTGGTATGGAATCCCCCATTGCCCTGGTGAGCCGGAATATCTCGCAAAGCTCGTCTAACGGGGTTTGATCTTCATTTGATTCCATGATGAGAGGAAGAGCGAATGCAGACACAATCAATATATGGTATAGCGCGAACACTGCGTTTGTGTTGGAGTCGTTCAGTTTACCCTTCACCTTCTCCAGGCCGACCCGGGCCTGGCTCTGGTAAGACCGTGCTATCATTAAGTGACTCTCCTTTGTAGCACCGCTATTATCAAATGCGAGATGAAGTGCCGATAGTGCGAGAATACCATGCATGAGGAAGGGGTGGTGTATCGCCTCTCGAGGCACGACGACACGCCAAATCCATTCAACCGTGTCATCCCGGGAGATAGAGCGATACGTTGCTGTACACCATTGGATCATGAGCTCTAATTCTTCCACACCGAGTTCTTTAGGTGCAGAGGCAGGGTTGGTGTGGTCTCCCATCATGATTCTCTATTGTGCAACAAGATGATGGCTGTGCGGTTGGTGACGATGTTTGGGGGAAAGGTAAGGAAGACGATGTATAGTATAGACAAGCCTTGGTGCTCGAACTTATGTATTGCGATAGGACAAATAGATGAGAATACCGCGACCTGTCCTATACATAACAGATTAGTAGGTCCGGAGGAGTCAGACAAAGACGCCTCAGGCACACCGTCCAAAGAAACCATGCAAACTTGGAAACCAACACTTGCATTCGCAACGGTCAATCCGAAATGATCCTTTGCGATTTCGCGGCACAGGCATTTCTCCAAAGCAACTTGAGCGGTCGAGAAATGTGGGAGCCGTTCGTCATAAATGTTATTACGGCAATGTCATTCGGCTGATTTTCTTGACATTCTGAAGTGAATACATCTTTACAAGACCCAACGAAAAACCCGGCAGAGCTTTGGATGTTGCACCAGGTATTTATTGTACCTGAGCTAGACTAGTGCTCATGAACAGCTTGATTACCCCGAGTGGGTCTACAACTTGTTGCTTTACGAGATCCTCCCTTGGCAGGGCTGTTGTTCGTTGTCTTCGACAGGGGAGTCCTGTGCTCCTCGTCGGCCTTCTGCGCACGACTCTATTGAATGAATACATCCATGACCATCTACAATATCCTAAGTAGGAAAGAGGTCTCAATGAATTGAGACTTATTTTCGCAGATCGATTACGCTTGCACCCACTAGCCCTTGCTGACGAGACAAATGGAAACGCATGGGACCCATTATGAATATCACCAGAATACTATTGAGAACCGAAGATTGGCAGTCGTTTAGACCTCCGAGTGCTTACAGGGCTCCGCCCGGACATCTTTGCAGTGGTCGAGTTACCCTTTTGAGGAACAAGGAATAACATAAACAAGAAAATGCTCCAGAGTGCCGATAGAGTGGGAAGTCGTCCGGACTACGCCGCAAGTCCACGCGGTGTTGACGGATTATTGGATCTCATCGTCATGCCATGTTGGGACAAGGGCCACGCGCCGAGAATCCACTTCCCTGCCACTAGTCTCAACCGGGTATCGAGCGGCGAGCCCTTCTTTTTCCGTTTCCAGTAACAAGTACTCTTGGTCTTCACATCCATCAATGATTGGATCGACACTTCAAGTCAACGACAGACACTTGCGCTTTGTCCCATGGTTGACCGGCCAGATTGAGTCCTATCAATGAAGGAGGACCGCCTTCCCAGAGAGGATCTACTAAGATGTGCTCTTTGTTTGCCGACTCCTCTGGAACACCACAAGATAGGCTCATCCATTGCCTTGGGATTGAGAGGGTTTTCCAGAATTTTCGCTCGCAGCATGGTCGAATTAATCTCTTGTGACTGGACGACCGCCAACGACCCACTCCTTATGGTTGGCCCAAGCTCCTGTGGCGAAAAGGTCATGCATCCAATGCGATCTTCTTTCGCCGGACACGTAAGGTGGCTTGTAGTGAACCCAGCTGAATGGAGACGAGACTTGCCCGTCGGTCGAGTTAATCCTGGGCCCAAAATGCACCGACAAGGGACTTTAAAGTCAACCATCCGTAAAGGAGTGCTTGCCCAGATGACTATCACCGAGCGGGCAATTGCAGAGCTTGTCATTGTTCGCATCCAATGCAACCCCTAACGTAGTGGCTAAGAAGTCGGCGGTCATGCAGCTGGTGGGTCGGGGAGCTCATTTCGCATATTGAAACCCAATCGGTCCTGCTAAACTGGGGGTGGATTCTCATGTACGAGTTCCGTATTGACCCTTGGCTATTATCGCCCATGTTCTCTTTCCACTTATGGAACCATTCCCGATACCTGTTCATATTGCGCCCCGCCAGAGTTCATTATCCTAATTCAGATAGAGGAGCATGTATGCCACATGTCGATCTTGTTCAATCTCTGTTGCACCAAACGGTCAGTCGGCATATGTCATTAGAAGGATTTATGCTTAATAGAATTTTTCTCGCTGTCGGTACTACGTCCTCTTCTCTCTTCCCTCGAGTTAGATTTGACGGCCCTCATACCGGATCTAGATTAGCACTAACTTGACCTATTGTTGTACATACCTCCCACACGTGATCGGCATCTCTTTATATACACCTTCGAGAGCAGGTTTTCTTTACCAGACAGTGACTGGCGCCCGTGTGGCGCCCGGAGCCCGATACAGTTCTTGATTGAGATATCATTGGCTCAATTCGACCGTTGGCTGAAGGATTTATGTACTAATCATAAATAGGCGTTTTTGGAACATGTCAGGTAGTATACATATACTACTAGCCTTAGCAATGATCTTATAGCGCCAACGGCGCGAAATGGCTGCCTAAAGCCTGCCGTAGTCGAAAGAACAATCCTGCTCCACAGCTCCTTCATTATCCTTGGTGAGCCGTCGATTAAATAGTTACTAGACATCCATGCTCATAATGAACATATTCCGTGTCCCTCTACGGCTGCAGCGACACCGTCCCGAATCGGTCGAGCGCCGTTCAATAACACCATCGAATGCACACGGGGATAGACACAGAAAACCACAACGCTGATGTGTTATTCCAGACTTTCCCGGGACATATCAAGACCAAACACTACGTTAGAGCGGTGATTGAATATCAAACAGCCAGGTCTGGTTTTATAAAAATATCGCAGTAGATCCGCGTTATACTTAGTGCTGATTGATCGTTGTCCTAGTAGGGCTATCTTAGTTTTGTATGAATTCCTTGAACAGCCAAAGTGTATATATCCAAAACTACCAGTAGCTATCAAAGTCGGGCTTGGTTGGAAGACTACTACGTACCCACGAGTGTTCCAACCGACAGCTGTTCCCGTTCTCTTAGTCTCCACGACCCATATATACCGGTAGTGGATCTATATCACTGAGAGGCCATTATTTCCTAATGAGCAATTGCCCAACAAACGTCATGATACAACCCGTTCTCTTGGACGAGAAAGACCATCCTTTCAGCACTATAACCACTAGCATTGAAGTAGCGAATTCCCATATCGTGAATTATATACGGCTCTGCATACCCTACAATCTCGAAATACTCAAAGACATACATCAGTAAGAGCTTGGTGTAACTGGAACTAGAAAAAAGTCATCTATAAGACTCCCACGGTATTTAGTAGTGATGCCGCTACCCAAGCTCAAAAAATCTCGAGATATGCCTAACTTGATTAAATCCTACCGTATATACCACACAAAAATACCACAAGAACATCGAATATTTAGCACGATTTAGAGATTCCGCTCCGCGGATTAGTTTATTGAGTTCGACAGATGTAGTGAGCGAATCTACGTCATGATGGAGAATGTTATATAGAGAACGACCTTAGCACCATATGGTCAATATATGACCCGTAATCGCTTTGTAAGGGTCACACAGTGCTCCAGAACCCTGCCTACAGCTCCCAAACTGCAGTACTGACTTCCTCTCGCACATGGACTAACTTCCGCTTATTCTCAGCTTAAAAAAAAAGGGAAGAATACAATAGAGATAGTAGTGCCACGAATAGACTTCAAAAGCCAAATCACATGGTTCAATAGCAAACTTGACTTGGCTAGAGTCAGGCTATATCAGGATCGGAAGATAAGTCTACTCCTGTAAAAATGCCTCCGAACAAATGCCCGCGTTATGGCCTGGTATATGCTGAAGAACATAGACACAATACTAGTAGTCTTCATACTAACGGAGCCCTAACACCATTCTTTACGAGGCTCTTTGCCGAGATCCATCCTTCTCCGCTGATCCCACCACCCATAATAGCGAGAGGATTGGTTTAGGGTGGAGTGCTCGCCTTATCGGAGTGGGGGCCTTGAACTCTGTTTCTGACCATGATGCTTGGGTTTCTGAGCTTATCTATTAAGATTGTTCAGCGGGTGTGCTGTATTGAATTTTCTTGACGTTAAACACGTCAATAGTGACGTTTGCAGACCATTTTACTCCGAGAGTGAGTCAGAAAGCTTCGCGTTTATTACATTTTCTAATGAATAGTCCCTCAGTCGCATTATCCACGTAGTTCTTGATGTTTACCAGGCAGCGCCAGCTGATAGGTAACACACGTGTCGTCGCCTAGTCATAACGACGCTAGAGAGATCCTTGGTAACAGCCTCGCCGCTGACAATCACTCGAGCTGATTAAGCTATGCAGCGGCTTTAGCCATTCCAACAATCTGTGGTTTGCGATTCTTGGTTTGTGAAGCAAAATACCTGCTTCCGGGATCAGGAAATCACTGTTTGTCAAATGAACGAGACTCCCCGAGCCAACGATTAGGTTTACCTAGAGTTCTTGTACAGGTACATGCGTTCATCGGCTGGGGGTGTTGACGGCGGCACCATGGATGGTGATCTTACAGGAGTTGATGATAGGTGAAACTTGTAAAAGGTCATTTCAAAATTTAGGTGGGGCTATTGATTCATTGCTTATTGGTTTTGTAGGCCTTGGGCTGTGATATTTGCTGGCTGTTGTACCTTTATGCAGCCATCATCGCGATAATACTAGTTTAGGTAATCTTCGAGGGCATAGAGTTTTGCGCGAACCAGAAAGAAAGATAAATCCCACTTTGCATGAGGGGTATTACGTAGAGCACCTGAGATGAACCCTTGGCGTTATCATTCGATATATAGATAGGGAGTCGCTGCGCCCCGATTTTTCGTAGTTCAATGACGCGGGGATTGCGACCAGGTATCCCGGCCGAGTAACAGGGGTACGACATCTGCAAAAGTCATTCGGTTCAGTTTCTCGTCTCCTGGCAGCCATGGTTTCACCTTGAATGACTGATTGTCTGAGTATACCAGCACAGATATCCTCCCAAAACCAAACAATGCATTATGCGACTATGTCCTACATTCAGCAGACTATTAGGCCTGCAGACAAAGGATTCAGGCATCCTGCCGGTCGAGGATGGAAGGGTTACCATGGACAGCAGAACGAAGTGGGAGAACCGCAGACGGGGAACCGCAGTCCCCGCTCCCATCAGCGCATGCAGCCGTAACCCGACTCGCTGGCGAAACTTTCTTAGGCATCGCGTTGGTGCGTGCCAAGGACGACGGATCATGCTTAGGGCCTGACAAGTGCTGATCCGATGTAGCTCTGACCGCCTCAGGTAAAGAAACGAATTGACCGAGTTCATCTCATGGAGGGGGGAAGAAAGACAAGGGAGGAAAAAATAAAAGAGAGAATATAGGTGAGACAGTACCTTTTGCGGTAGATGTGCCTTGCGTTATCTTCCCACTGAACCTGAAAACGGATCGCGCTCGGGTCAAGCTTGCTTTGCGTTAACCCAAACCGGAGAACCACTTGGGTAATATGGTTACTCCTCAGGACTGAGGATCGTCTTTATGACAGCCGTAAAAATAAATTGTGCTGAATACAGCAGCGCAGATTGGTCGGGGCAATCCTTGACCTCCACTGGACTAGGGTTTTGCCGCTGTTGGGCTGCTAGGCATCTGGATCTAAACCCCTCCGTCGTTGATCATTACATTTTCGGAAACCCCACGGACTTGAGATAATTTGAAATAATTCCTCAAAAGGTGGACACAAAAATTCCAAAGTGACTGGCTGAGAATACCGATATAAAGGAAAGTAGAAAAAGTAAAAAAAGAAAACAGACAAATCAATTTATAGAGAACATCTGTGGAAAAGAACAAAGATCAAATATACAAGTGTCTTTTGGTGAGTCGATAGATCGTGTGCGATTTGTCGGGCTTTGGCGGTTAATTTCTCACATTCCGGCGCTACGCCCAGAAGGGAGGAAGTCTGAACCCGACGGTCTGGGTCGAGGTTCCTGCGGCGGGCTGATCATCGCCGAATCCGTGAGTCTGGTTGCTGCATCTCGTCAGAGAGTAAGTCATTCTGCGAAGAACAAAGACGAACCCAATTTAGTATTGGTATCGTGACGAAAATAGAAGAAAGTGGCGAGGAAAAAAAAAGGTACCAAAGAGACAAATAAAATTATACAGCAGATATCAGCGTCTATTAATTAGCAGGGGCAAAGAAATCAATTGAATGAAACATAATGAGAAAACATAATAGCACCGGTGGTATCGGAAAGAAGATGATCGCCAGAAGTTAAAGTTAATAAAAATTTTAATGATTAAAAATAGAGGAATAAATTTCTAAGGGTATGAGCTCATCCACAGTCGAGTTCCTCTCTCTTGTCTGGACCTCTCGTGACTGTCCACGCTCTCCGCTTCGTCATTCGGCTCTCTCACCTTTTCTTCCCTCATTTCCCACTTGCTCTTTCCTCACAAATTCCCCCACACCCAACACGTCCAAACTTCAGTATCAACCCTTGGGTTGCTCTGCAGCTTCTGACTCCACCGATTATATCCAAGTGGCTTCTTCCTTACGACCCTGAAGATTAACGTGGACGCTGTGTGCGAACCTTTGGTCCTGAGGTCGATCCGTGGAAGACCTAGCGAATCTCCCGCAGTTTGACAGCTCTTTCTTACGGCTCAACCACAGCGATCGTCAATTACCCTCTAAAAGTCTCAGCAAAGTGGTAGTACGCGTTGCAAATTGACTGAACTGTACGTGATTTAAAAGATAAGTGTCTGGTGTTCGTGGTGATCGTTTAACTTATCGCCCCGATAGCTGAGGTCAGTCGCGCATCCTACCTTTCGGGTACGCCCCTCTTTCGCCACTTTTTTCCCTGGCGCCCTCTCAGAAATTGCATCCCCGCAACGATCGTACCTTTCACCACCGCACGCGTCTCTCCCCTCAAGCAGGTTACTGTGGCCCGTACCATTGTGTGCTATATTTCCTTGCCAGCTCGCTTCGGTAAGCTGGAGTTGTCCCAGCACAGGTTGAGGACCGACAAGCTTTCAGCCAGTGCTCGCTTCGGTCGCGGCTTTCACGAACTTCAACCATCGCCAGAGTCAATGGTCTAACTGTGACGTTGGAAGCTTCTCGCATGCTCTATAGACGCTAGTTCCATCTATCTAGCTCTTAATCCATCTACGAAACGGGAACACCGGTTGTCATTATCGCCTATTCCACTCGCACGCCATGTATGCTATCGAAGAAAGGGCACATCCACCACCGCCGCCGCCTCTCTCCATGGAACGAATTCCTCCGCCTTCCTCATCATATCCCACTCCGGGCTCCGGGGGTGGAATGGTCTCCGCCGGTATTCCGTCATCCAGCCACCTAGCGCCGCTTTCGACGGTCCACGAGGGTCGCATTTGGTCTCTGCAAGTTGTGCAGCAACCGATTCGGGCCCGAATGTGCGGCTTTGGCGACAAGGTTAGTTCCCATATATCCTATATACCGACTAAATGCTTATTGATCGATCTAGGATCGGAGGCCCATTACCCCTCCTCCGTGCATCCGCCTGATAGTTAAGGACGCTCAAACCGAAAAAGAGATCGATATCAAGTATGTAAACCTTGGAATCATGTGAATTAGTTGCGGCGCTGACCTTGGTTCCAGTGAGATTGATACTTCTTTTTACGTCCTCATGGTAGACTTGTGGAACGCGGAGGGAACTAACGAGGTGAATTTGGTCAAGCATTCAGCAACCTCTCCGTCGATATCAACGGCCATGTCCTCTTCGTACCCGCCACCGCCGCAAACAATGTCCCCTACCTATGCGCAATACCCACAAAATGCCTACGGTCAGCCGGTCCCCTACCCGCAAATGAATAGCTATTATCCTGGAAACCCTCAGCTACAGTATCAAAATCCTTATGGCGCCAGTCCCCAGACCTCTTACTACCAACCATACTACCCGACCGGCGGTCATATGCCACAGGCCAATATCTCCCCTGCGCAACCGGTTAGCACGGGGCCTGGCGGCATGTTCACGCGCAACCTCATCGGAAGTCTCAGTGCCAGTGCCTTCCGTCTGACCGATCCAGACAATAAAATCGGCGTGTGGTTCATCCTACAAGATTTGAGTGTACGGACTGAAGGGGTCTTCCGGTCAGTGCTCATCAATTGTAATTTGTTGCAATGCATCTTTACTAACTTCTTTTCAGCCTCAAAATGAGCTTTGTCAACGTGGGCACTCAATCCAGTGATTCTCCTAACGGAGGAGTGTCTGTGATCAATCATGGATCGGCGCCCGTCCTAGCGTCCGTCTTCTCCGAGCCATTCCAAGTTTTCTCGGCCAAGAAGTTCCCCGGAGTGATCGAGAGTACGACACTCAGCAAATGCTTCGCTCTCCAAGGCATCAAAATTCCTATCCGGAAAGATGGCGTGAAGGGCTCACGCGGCCGGAACAACGATGACGACGATGGGGATGATTACGATTAAGAAAGCCGCGTTGCTTTGCTGCACTAACCCGGACATTGGGTTGAGAAGCATTGTGACTCAAGCGGCCTTAATTTCATGGTTCTGATCATTTTACGCATTTACGGGTTAAGACATGGGGCAAGGTTTCGGTCGGCGGTGTTCAGGGCAAGACGGGTTCTTTCAAATGGGTGGGATGTATTGCTATCAGGATTGGTGCCGCGGTGTTTTTTTTTTGTCTTTTTTTTCTGGCTCTTATTTTTTTTGCTAATTGTTGATTCACCCCCTTTTGTTTTTGCTTTATAATATCCCCCTTTTTGTCACATCTTTTTTAATCGTCTCAAGATGTATGTTCTACTGTGTGGGTGCTGTCCGAAGTGCGTGAGACATATATCTCCTTGCTTTTCTTTCTTTTATGTGTATTTGTTCAAACCGCGCTGAGCACTCGATCATCTCTAAGTATTGAGACTGAGCGCTTCATGTATGTTTTGCCACGGAATTGAAAGAACCGACTGGATGGAATATGCCCTAATCCATGGATAATGCGGAGAAGTGACATCAGAAGTGGATTGCCATATCAGGTGATCGAACTTGTAGGTCTCATGCATGGAAGGAAAAAAACTCAATTGAGGCCGGAAATTAAGTAATTTTAACTTCGTGCGAAATCCATAGAAAGCGTTGCCTCCGAGGACCCTGGAACAAATATAGTCTACCTGCAGACGGGTCTCGTATCCGTAATGAATGGTGATGCTCATTGAGTGCTTCTCTCCCAAATTTGCAGGCCTGCCGCGGGTCGTCGGCATTGTCCGAACCCTCGGCCATTGCTGGCTACATTGGGTGGCTAATTTCTATTATTATACACTTATGTCTTGTAGCGTTACAGACAGCTCCCAAGTGTCTCGGAAAAAGTGAGACACTGGTCTCGAGAATCAACGATAGCAATCTCGGTTCTTCAACGGCCTCCCCACATTAACGTCATAAACGTCACTAAATAAATCTCCGCGGTTTCTCGTCCCGCGAACCCCGTGACAAACCCTCATATCGCTTCGCTTGCATGCGGTCTCACTTTAGCGGTTGAACAGTGCACCAGCTCAGCATTGGCGTCGCCCCCTGATAGGTTATGATCCAGATTTCGATATGATTATGCAGCGGCTGGCGCCGACTGCAATGTAACGTCTCCCTCATGGCTCCACGAGATGCAGAATGTTGTATGACACTTGCTGTCCATGGATATCTCGCAGCCTCCTCGTTCTCGGGATATAAATACGAGGTCGAGCTCTCGACATCATGCCTCTCCAAACAGATCAGCCTAAAAACATTATAGCCATCTTCCAAGTTCCCATCCACAGTCTCTCGTTTATAAAATCACCAAGATGAAGTTCTCCATGGTCCCCTCGTTGCTTCTTCCCCTGCTGGCGGCCGCTGCCCCAGTCGCCCCGGAGAACCCCCCGTTCAGCGTCATGGCCACCCGCTCTGCTTCCCCCATCCACTTCCTCCCCATGACCGCCTCCGGCCAGAAGTTCTACCTTGGCGGAGAGACCACGTCCTACTGCCCCATTGGTGAGGGCTGCCCTCCCGGCAACCAGACCGTGTTCGCTCCTGGTGGCTATGGCATGGTAAGCTCTGTCTTATTTTCTGTCTCCACTTTCTCCCTGTTACTAACCAAAACTCTCCAGAATGTCATGGTCCCCGGTGGCCAGCAGGTCTATGTTGATCCCAAGGGCGCTCTGTCCTTCACCCAGGCCCACTCTGCTTATATTCCCGAGGCTCCGCCGTGGGTCCCTTCAACTACAAGCCCGGCAAGGACTGGGGCTACTACACCTTCGACGGCTGGGGTACTTCCGGCTTCATGGCTTGCCCTACTGAGGACTACCGCTGGCAGGTGTTTGCCGCTGTCCAGAACGCCACTGTCCCCAAGGGTAACGTGGCTGAATGCCTTGGCTTCAATGCCCTGGCTAACACGGCTCCCAAGGAGGCTGCTGCTTGGCAGTACGTTTAAGCCTAGGGCGAATTATGGTGTCCTGATTTGAAAAATAATCAGATTTGAGAAAGAGGTCGTTTGGTACGCAATGCGGTGATTGTGATGGTTGTGTAAATTACGCCTGTTGATGAGATATGACACTCCTTTTGTATATATGCAACATTTTAAATGCAGTAGTGCTTAGGGTATCGCAAACTTTTGTTTCGTGTAATTCTATTGCCGTATCTACGTTAATTTCTCCATATCCGCACGGCTTTGTCCTTACCGCCGCTGCCCACCTTCTCGCCATCGGGACTCCAGTCCACTGCGAAGACCTCGTCCTTGTGCCCTGGCAGATCCATGGACAGTTTGCCGGTGCGGACGTTCCACACCTTCAAAGTGGTGTCTTTGGATGAGGATACCAGGAGACGGGAGTCCGCTGAGAAACAGCACTGATAGACGGCACCGACGTGGCCGCGGAAAGTAGTGATGAACCTGCTCATGATTAGATATGTGTGTGATGACAATCTGGGCGGTATACTCACTTTCCATCTCTGCCATTCCACAGCTTCACATGGTTATCGAATCCAGCGGATGCAATGTATGCCATATCCGGTGAGAAGGTCACATGGTTGACCTCCTTTTGGTGGCCCAGTAATCTAGCAACCGGCTTGTTGGAGCTCTCCGGTTCCCACAAGTACATAGTGAAGTCATCACTTGCAGACACGAGTCTCTCAACAATCTTGTTGTTGACGGTGGCCGCCTGCTCGAAGCGTTTCCGGGCTGCGGCGACTTTGTCGGCATCGGCTTCAGGTACCTTCTTAGTGTGGTCGTGGTAGGCGGTTCTCAGAACGAAGTCGGTCGAAAGGGCTAAGTGGTTCACGCGGTGTGCGTGGGCCTGTAGTGTCTGAATGAGGGTACCCTGTTTGGCGTCCCACACCTTGATGGTCTTGTCATGGGAAGCTGTGTAAATCTTGCCCATGCCACCCCAACGGACGCAGGTGACCGAGCCTTTGTGGCCGGTCAAGACAGTATCAATTCGCTTCGATACAACGTCCCAGATGCGGACAGTGGAATCCTTCGACGCCGAAGCCAATCGCGGCCGACCAGTTTCTTGCGCATGGTACGGTTCCCACGCCAGACTGGTGATCCACTTCGCATGCCCCTTGAGCGGGCCTCCCAGTGCCTGTCCTTTCTTTGCATCCCACAGACGTACGCTATTGTCCATGCTACCTGTCGCGATAATCGCACCGTTGGGGGAGTAAGCCACTGCCAGCACCCAGCTGGTGTGTCCCTTCAATGTGTGCAATGGTGTACCAGTGTCGCAATCCCAGACACGAGCTGTTGAGTCGCCGCTTCCGGTCACCATTGTTGAAGAAGACACAGGGGAGAATGCAGTCGCCAGAATGGCTTCACCATGTCCAGCTATAGAGGCAGCGCATCGTGAAACAGCTTTCACTCGGAATACTGCCTGCGGGGTAAAGTATAGAGAGATAGTATCTTCGGTTGTTCTGAGTCCAGGCTGGAGTAACGAATGATAGAGATCTGCTAAGATGTCGATGGCCTGATTGTCTTTATCCTGGGATTGGTAGGTGAACCGGTACGGTACTCGTTCATCATCTTCCTATAACCCATAACAGTAGAGGATTAGCCTAAGGCGCATATCGGAAATTTAGATTCCCTGCGTACCTACATTGCCTTGTAGTGTATTCAAAAGGGTCTCAAGATTTTTCACATTGGCATCGGCGACTGGGACGGACACTGCAGGTCCCGTTGCGGATCCTGTTGCTTGGTCGAAGAACTGCACTCGGACACTGCCCAGGTTATCCGGGATGCTTTCGATCTCCTGTTGCAGACGCGCCTTCTCGGCGATCTCTGTCTTCTGACGCTTTGTCGGAGGGGGTACAAGAGTCGACATTTTGCCACTCGAAGGGAATATTTGTTTGTAATGAAGTCGATCTTGTCTTGAATAAAAATTTCAACGGCTATCATGAAATCGCACTTATCGCGGAGTAGTGGATCGGCGCTAAACTGGATTTGGTTATCCGCTCTTTATCAACAGTATACAATTTCCTTTCCTACTTCTTCTCTCTCAATTGTATCAAGAAATGCTTTTTTCAAGATGATGTGATTGCTTATTTCATATGGAATGTCAATATTGATGTCTAGAGCTTCTTCTCTGGGGGCCACTGATTCATTCGTTCCTCTCTCGAGGCAGAGCAGTGGACCCCTCCGGACAAGACCTACTACGACAGCAACAAGTGTCGCATCTCAGGATATTATCTGTGCCATTAGCGAGTCCCGCGGTATCTCATCTACTGTTGGCCTCACTTTCATTAATTTATCGACTGCAGAAGCAGTCTTGTGTCAGATATGCGACAGCCAAACTTATGTCAAAACAGTTACCAAGATCGGGGTGTTTGAGCCCACAGAGATACTCTTCATGACTACAGCCAAAGATTCCAAGCTATTTTACATCATTAAGGAGAATATTCAAGATACCACATTTACCTTTCTAGACCGCAGAGACTGGTCGGAGAAGACCGGGCATGAGTATGTGGATCGACTAGCTTTTCCTGAGGACATTGAATCTATAAAGATTACCTTGGGAGGCAATTTTTTTGCTGCTTGTTGTTTTGCTGCAGTATGTGAGGGTCAACACACTTACAAGCTTTGCTCATTTTGTACAGGTTCTGAAGTATGTCGAGCTGGAGCTAAATAGGACGTTCACTTCTCACTCCCTTCGCATCCGTTTCGAGCCTTCCCAGGGGTCCATGCTGATTGACTTATCTACCATAACTTCCTTGGAGCTGATCCAAAATCTGCAAAATGCCAGATCCAAGGACAGCCTCTTCGGACTTATGAATGAGACACTAACTCCCATGGGTGGTAGGCTTCTGAGAGCCAATATCCTGCAGCCCTCTACGGAAGCTTCGAAGTTGATAACTCGATATGATGCCGTGGAGGATTTATCTACGAAAGGGGAGATGTTTGTATCAGTTAGACAAGGTTAGAGATGAAGTCTGTCCTACTAACCATACACTAACTTGTTGTGTCCCAAATTTCCAACAGCCCTCAAGGGCTTCATCGACGCAGATAAAGTCTTAACATCTGTGAGTCGATAAGCCTTTCGACGCTTATCACAGCTGACAGTCTAGCTCATCCTCGTTCCAACTAAACGAACTTTTCAATACGTCGAACAATCAGTCAACAACGTCATCATGCTCAAAACTTATGTGGCTTCAATCAGATCAGTATACAAGGCGCTTGGAACGGCTCAAAGCAGCCTTTTACTGACGATCAGAGAAGTAGTAGCCCCATGACACGCTGGCTTGCAAGTCTAACTAGACTATAGTTATGCGCTCCAGCGGGTCATCGGGCAGTTGAAAACCTAATTGAGTCAACCCTCAACGAATATGTAACATACCAAACGAGACCGCTTGACCTGAGAAACCAGCGTATATACTGTGTCAGGGTACGTACCCATCGCTTGAGTTGCTATATTTTCAGCATGGCTGTCTGGTAATCCAACGATACAGGCTGGAGTCAACAGTCTACTCGATGTCGCGAGACAGACATACAAAGAAGCAAATATGGATGCTGCAGATCTCATAACAAAGCTTTCAGGTGAGTAGATAGAAGCAGTTGGTACCTAGGCACATCTAATATGCTGTAGAATCTCATGGTATAGCCCTCGATCTGAAATTTGACACAGCACGTCAATACTTCATTAGTATACCAGCTACAGAAGTAGACACACTCCCTGAAGTATTCATCAACATATACCGCAAGAAGAACCGCATAGAATGCCAAACTCTTGACTTAGTCAAACTGAACCAGAAAATTATCGATGCACATAACGAAGTAATTAACATGAGTGACCAGACTGTCCATGAATTGATCCAGGATATCCGTTCCGAAATAGCCCAGCTCTTCAGGATCAGTGAAGCCATTGCCATGCTTGACATGCTATCCGCATTCGCCCAGCTAGCTGCAAACCACGACTATGTTCGAGCAGAACTAACAGACGTCCTGGCCATCAAGTCAGGGCGACATCCCATCCGCGAGAAAATACATACCAAGAAATTTATCCCTAATGACGCCTACGCAACTCAGCAGTCCCGTTTCCAAATCATCACGGGCTGCAACATGAGCGGTAAATCTACCTACATCCGCTCGCTGGCCCTAATGACCATCATGGCCCAAATCGCTCGTTCATCCCTGCTGAATACGCCTCTTTCCCCATCGTGCACCAGCTTTTCGCTCGCATCTCAACTGCCGACGACCTAGAAGCAAATGTATCGACCTTCGCCGCCGAAATGCGCGAGATGGCGTTCATCCTCCGCAGCATTGAACCAAGGAGCATGGTCATCGTCGACGAACTGGGCCGAGGCACCAGTACAACAGACGGTTTAGCCATCGCCATCGCCATCGCAGAAGCCCTCGTCGAAAGCCACGCCCTCATCTGGTTCGTCACCCACTTCCACGACCTTGCCGTGATAATGGCCGAGCGCAGCGGCGTTGTTAGTCTCCATCTCGCAGCGGAGATATCCCCCAACATGTCCAAGATGACGATGTTGTACAAAATAGCCGAAGGCCCCGAAACAAACCGCTTCTATGGCCTTGCTCTTGCTAAACTTGTTGATCTACCACCTGGCGTGCTGGAGTATGCGCAAACGGTCTCGGAGAAGATGAACCAAATTGCGCAACGTCGTCACAGCAAGTCTAGAGCTCTGGCTGTCTCGCGGAAACGGAACCTTATTCTCTCGCTCAGGGAGCAGCTCTTGCAGGCCCGAGATGGGAAAATGGAGGGCGAGACGCTTCGCAAATGGCTGAAGCGACTTCAGGATGAGTTTGCCTTGCGGATGGCTGCGATTGACGGGGACGAATCTGTGTCTTGTGGTTCTGAGGATGGAGAAGAACAAGAGAGGTCCTGTTCGGGTCTGGTTGAAGCGACAGGACCTGATACTGTGGATGACCTGCCAGATCGCGAAGACAGTTCTGCATCCCTTCTCATCTCGTCAGTTGAGGAAAGGTCCGTTATAGAGATCTCTTCAGATGACGTTTCTGAGAATGGCAGTTTGCTGAACGAGTAAAGGTAACTGTTTGTTGAAATGGCAGCTGTTAATGTCTACAAATTATGAAATCATACTTATTTATATCTTACTATAATGGGACCCCCAGTTACCGATTACTTCTTTCCTAACTCATAAAATCATGTCCGGACAGGCCGTTTGCATTCAATTTGCATTAAAGATTAACACCAATCCTTAACACTTTTAAACTTGCGTATCACAGTTCTATTATGACTCGCTTAATAACAAAAGCTAAACAGCACAAGGTCATAACTCTCTAATAGTAGACCAAAACAGTGATCACACTCCTTAACCAAAATGGAAAAGAGTCTGTTTTCCCTTCTTTCCCTTACCCTTCTTGCCGCCGCCTGCAGAGGACTCTCCGAAATCGGAATCCGGCTCGCCCGGGGTACTAGTGCCTGATCCACCTGAGGCCCAGGCATTCGAGTTCGGAGCATCTCGTCCATCCCAACGGACACGGACAGTTCCACGGGTGAGGCCGGCCATGAGGACGTTTGGTTTAGGGGCGGCGGGGAGCGCCGGGAAAGCTTCGGCGTTGCCGGTATTTGCAGGCCGAGAGGGGTTACTAGGTTTAGGGGCAGGACGGGAGGATGGGCCAGCGTAGGATGGCCCGGTATACGATGGAGCAGGGGATGCCGTGGCCCAAGGGGTATTGCTGTTGCTGGCGGCGGCGGACTTTTTGGAGACGGTAGAGGAGAGAGGGGGAAGGGGTTGCTTGGGGATGAGCCCGAGGGGAGGGCACCGCTTCTGCCGACGGCTGAGCGAGAGGACTGGGCGGTTGAGGATTCAGCCGGAGGACACGTTTGCCTCCGGCACCACTGCCGTTCACGGTGCTGGGGGACATGCCTGGTAGGAGGCCCCCAGGGCCTGGTAGGGCTGGGTAATCTTCATTGATGGCGCGCCAGTCATTCCAGGCTTTGAGTAGTGCGGTTCGTTTGGAGTCGTTTTCGTAGATCTCTGCGAGCTCCTTGACGAGTTTGCCTAGCTCGTTGGTGGACGTGTCGAAGAGGGAGAAAAAACCGTCGATCAGCTCGGTGGCTGTTAGGGCAGAGGTGCGGTAGGTGGACACTTTGGAGCGGAATTCATTCAGTTTATTTTGATCATTGCCAAGGAGATTAGCGGCACGCTCGACCACGGCTGCATGACGCAGACGGCGGGCCTGTTCCTGAGGCGTGGCAGATCCGGAATCATGGCCGAGACTGAGATCCTGCAGTTCCGCCACAGGGGTGGACGCAGCTGGGGGTGTTCGGGAGGCTGGGGTACGCGGGGGAGCGTGTACAGTTTGAGTATCATTACGGGTCAATTGACCTCCGAAGCTGCGGGTTGATACTGACTGTGCGCTTTGAATGGCCATCTGCCGTTGGTAGGCAATTTCGGCTCTGGTTAGTGGTTGTGCAGAGGACACAGGAAGAGGCTCGGAATTTGGATCGCGCCCACGACCAGCGCCGCGGCGTTGTCTTTGAGGTTGATACGGTGTTCTGTAGTCGAAAGATGACAGATCAACGGTTCGTGCGTCGCGTCTCGCATCCTTGGAAAGACCATTTGGATGGCATTCCAATTGATGAGCTTTCATATCCATTTCAGATTCGAAAACAACAAACTTTTTCTCCAAACACTCCTTGTCCAGGCAAAGGAAATGGTCCTTCTGGAAGTGATCCTCAAGCGCATTATAGTCAATATAATACTGTTGTTGACGATTGGCGGACCGTCTATCACAGATGTGACATCTTTCATGGCGATCGCGACAGTGAGTGTACAGTTCATCGTCACCATAAAACCGTTGACGGCAGAAACCACATTCGGGGTGACCCTTAAAGCCACTCTGTTCAACAGCCCCAGGAACATGATCTCCGTACTTCTCGTGCTTGCGCAACTCCGCTACAGTGAAGAGTTCGTGTTCATGGGTGAAGACTTTCTTGTTACGCGTACAAAGATCGCTAGACGATAAGAACCAAGGTAAGTAACATGCCAGTGTATAGCATTCCAGAGGAACATCACATACCACATTACTTTGCCATGCTTGCTCTTCACGTGGCGATGCAGGTCGGGCCATCCTAAGCAAGCCACGTCGCAATCTGTGTCCGGACAATTGTATCGGAGCAAGAGGACTGTATCTTCAAAGATCTCATTATTTTCATATTTGATCCCGAGGTTATCATCTTTCTGAGAAAAGTCCGAGTCCTTGAAGTCCTGGAAAGGCTTCGCATGGTCATTCGTGAAAATCACGTAGCTCGATTCAGTCTACCCCGAATGACAGACATTAGCATAACCCCAAGGTACCCAAAGTATGTGGATCAAAATATAAAGCGTACCCGACAATGCGCACAGGCTTTGTTCTTATACAATGCTCGAAGTCTCAACGCGCAGATATGGCAAGTGCGGTGATTACATGGCGAAACAGACGTATGTTCGACAGTTGACGCACAAATGAAGCAAATCTCCCCATCATCGGCGTCGTCTGCGGGCGCTGCAGTTGCCGTCTTGCCCTTGTCTCCTGTCTCTATAGTCTGTCCTTGGGTCGGTTGTCCACTGGGTTCCGGCCCGGAATCCTTATTCGGGGCGCTGCGGTTCTGCTTATCGCGACCCCCTCCTCTGCGGGGCCCACTGCCCCTGGCCCTTGAGCCTTTTCCGGCGCCTTCAGTCGACTGCTGCGAGTCTCAATCTTGTCGAAGGTTGGCCTGCTCCCCGTCCTCGTCCGCGACGACCACCACGTTTTGGTCCTTGCGATCCGGAGCCTTGGGGCGGCTGAGTGTCAGACATGGAGGGCGGATATGGAGGCGGGAGTTGGCACGACGGAAACAATTTCAGAAAGGGGACAAGCCCGGATAACAGCTCCCAGGGATTAGAAGAGCTCGGCGCTCCTTCTGACACGGTGCGACGAACACTTTGTCTGCGGGGATAATGATCCTAGTGTAGTGGTGGCAGTGAGGGGAGACAAATTGTCGAGCGGCGGGCGAAAATGTTGGCTGTCGGCGTGCTTAGTGAGCGGCTTGATTAAATCACTAAAAATTTCCCATTTATTTACTCCGTATTTAACCAGCGAATTAATTAGCTTTCCGCAATGACTCCTCTCGGCGTCATTTCGACTCACCGTCTCTCGACTTGAGCGTTTGAATAATTCCTTTTGAATCATCCTACTGACATCTAAGACTACCTGTTGACTCGATTGACTCAAGGATATTTCCCATGGTGGTCACTGCTTTGGTGTTGTTGCAGTGGGCTATTCTCCCGCAAGCACAGGTAGTGTACATGTACTTATCGAAAATCTGCCTACGCGGGTCCGCGATCTACTTGAACACTCTGTATTGCTCATGCTATGTCATAATAATAATAATAATGTGTAATGGCAGAAGACATCCCTGCAGGACTCTTCTGAAATAGCGACGGTTCTTTACCGACAGCATCCATCGCGCCAATCTGCAAGGCAGTACCAACTCCCGCTGGAGAAAAAGCAGGTAAAGTAACAAAAGATGAGTAAGGCAATTATGTCGCCAATGAGGGTAAACTGAGTACAACATAAGATCTCGATAATCAAAATGACGGCTCCTGGTTATCATATGCGGTGCTGCAAAGCAAAAGCAAAAGCAAAAGCAAAAGCAAAGTAAATAAAAGCAAATATTCATGAAGTATAGCGACGGGCGCGACGCAAATTTTGCCCTCCCTGAAGACTATGTATGGCGTGGGTCTCCCTCCAGATACGGAGACTATTCATCGGGGCTGTACAAATTTTGGCTGAGGATCTTTGTCATCGTAAACATATGTATGCGGTCCTGCTTGAAAACCGCGCGCATCGGTTCGTCGCAGCGGATTTGACGTCGGTCGGTGGGATCTTGAAGTTCATGCTCGCGGATATACGCCCAGACTTTCTTTACCGTCTGGGGTCGCGAAAGCTGGGGGAAATTAGCTGTTTCTCAATCAAACCATGTGGGTGATATGCGATGCGTCAAGCAAGCAGGACCAAAGAGAATACATACCGACTCTTCACCACCCAGCAGAGCTGACAATGCCGGTGATAGAGTAAGTGGTTTCTGTATAGCTGTTAATACGAGACAAATTACTCCAAGAGTATAGTAAAACACACATGAAATCCACCAGAACGGTTCACTTTCTTTGAGTCCGAGCCGGAGTCGACGTCTGAGTCGTCCTCCGCTTTGACCTTCTTCGACGTTTTAGCTTTGGTTGTCTTCTTCTTTGCCGGTTGGGCTTTACGCGCACTCGCACCGCGAGTGGGACGGGCACGCATGTTTTCCTCCGCCTGCAATTTTGCCGCGAAAAGGGCATCCGCATCCACATCGTGATCGGACTTTTTCTTCTTCGCCGGAGGAGTCTTGTCCGATTCACGTTCCACACTATCCGCCTGACGTTTCTGTGACTTGGAGGATTGCGCAGGGGACGAAGCCTCGACCGGTGTCGCAGAACTGTGGCCATTGGTCGCAGGAGCAGTAGCGACCGCCTCGGGAGAAGCTTCTATACCACCATTCTCGGCAAAGATGTCGAACCGCTCCATGATAAGCTGCTTAATCACAGCCTAGTTAAAGAGATATGTTAGCATGGTGTATAATTGCAGTGTAATGAAGTGATATTGGGGTCATTGGTTTTGCGACGTGACGAGACGCGGAACAGACCTTATGCGGAGTGAGATCATAGCCGACCTCTTCCTGAAGCCCTTTACGGATTCGCTTCTCGGAGATAGTATTGAGATCACTCTTAGCCAGGATTGAGTCAATGATTGGTACATATTGGTCGCGGGCTTCTGGGGAGACTGGCGCATCGCGAATGATGTCAGTTCAGAGCGACTTCGGCGGCTTGTGCACGACCCGGAAACATCAGTGCCAGCGAAACTTACGCGACATCCTGGGCAACGTAGCTCTGGTTACTTTCTCGGCGGTAGAAAATACAGTGATAATTGCGTCAATCGCTGCAATGGGCGCAGCCACAGAGTCGATAATGCTAGCTTTGGAGCAGGAGGGAGAGGTAGTGAATCGTACTGTTGGAGATCGATCGTCCAGATCTGGGCGTAGCGCTGGCGCTTAGGACCGGCGGGGCATAAGAAGGAAGGGAATCTCCAATAAAAGGTGTAACAGAACAGGAACACAAGGTAGATGAGATAAAAACAAAAGGAAACAATGGAGATGGCCGGCCCACAACGACCAGCACCTTGCACCCGCAATATCAAAGCAACCTGGGACGAATTGTGTTCGAGGGTCGCGACCTGTTATGGATCTCCAACTGTATGTCAAGGCAGGCCGTACGGTCGGTTATGGTAAAGTAAGGTTCACTAACACTGGAGGTTATGCGGGCGACTGGGGTCGGTCGGGCCGTCACGTGAGCACAGGCACGGCTGAGTCAGCGCCTTCGCACACAGAAGCGGCTGTGGTTGGGATTTGTTCTTTTTGCCCTAAAACCAGGCAAAACGGGGACGACCAGCAGAAAATCAGAGCGGCTCTCTCACCCTCGATAACTCTCCACCCATCGCCCTCGAAACGCCCCCCAGCAATCATGGCGCCCAGTTTCGACACCCTGTCCGAGCAGGATCTCCACGAAGAGGAGGAGGAGGAGATTGACTTCTCCGGTGAGTGCGATTCTTTATCATTTGTCTCTTTCTAGGTCCCGTGCCCCTCTTCGCTAATACCGCTTTTCCGATTTTTAGATCTCAAGGAGCAATTTGAAGTGAAGCTCGAGGAGGGTTTGGATACATTTATCGTCATCGATGGGCTCCCGATCGTGCCGGAAGAGAGCAGGCAGAAGCTTATCAAGTTCTTGCTGAGGAAACTCAACGCGGTCGGCCACACCTCCGAAGATGCCGTTTTCATGCCAACCAACGACAAGAACATGTCCGAAGGGTATGTACCGGGGAAATACTGGAAATGAATGAAGGAAAGGTTTAATGTTTCGTTTGTGCAGTTTCGCCTTCGTCGAATATGAAACCCCCGAACAAGCCATTGCCGCAGTCAAGCAGCTGCACGGAACACCTCTCGACAAGAAGCACACCCTTGCCGTGAACAAGTTGATGGATATTGATCGCTATGGTCGCGAAGGACGCATCGATGAGGAATATAAGCCCCCAACTGTCGAACCTTTCAAGGAGAAGGAGCACCTCCGCTCATGGCTGTCCGACCCCAACGCCCGTGACCAGTTCGCCCTCTACCGCAATGACAAGGTTGGCGTGTTCTGGAACAACAAGAACAATCCCCCAGAGAACGTCGTCGATCGTGCTCATTGGACACAGCTCTTCGTCCAGTGGTCTCCCAAGGGTACATATCTCGCATCCGTCCATCCTCAGGGTGTGCAGCTCTGGGGCGGCCCTGCTTTCTCGAAACAGAAGCAGTTCCCCCATCCGTTTGTTCAGCTCGTCGAGTTCTCGCCAGGTGAGAGCTACTTGACTACCTGGTCTTCCCGCCCCATTCAGGTTGAAGAGGGTCACCCTGTCTTGTCTTTCGAAGAGGATGGAAAGAACATTATCGTCTGGGATATCGTCTCTGGAAAGCCTCTGCGTTCCTTCGTTTCTCATGATCTCGCTGCCGGCCCTGCTGAAGGTGATGCTGCCCCGAAGAAGAAGGTGCAGTGGCCCGCTTTCAAGTGGTCCGCTGATGAGAAGTACGTCGCAAGAATGCTCCAGGGCCAGTCTATCTCTATCTACGAGCTGCCTCGGATGAACTTGCTGGGTAAGACTTCCGTTAAGGTTGATGGTGTCATGGACTTCGAATGGTCGCCAGCAACAGTCACCCGTGAGGGTGTCAAGCAATACGAGCAACTCCTCTCCTTCTGGACTCCTGAAATTGGCAGCAACCCCGCAAGAGTCGCCTTGATGAGCGTACCATCTAAGGAGATTGTACGAACCCGTAACCTGTTCAACGTCTCTGATGTGAAGCTGCACTGGCAGTCTCAAGGTACCTACGTCTGTGTCAAGGTGGATCGTCACTCCAAGTCCAAGAAGTCAATGGCTACCAACCTTGAGATTTTCCGGGTGCGCGAGAAGGGTGTTCCAGTTGAGGTTGTAGACAGTCTCAAAGACACTGTGATCAACTTTGCATGGGAACCCAACGGTGGACGTTTTGTCCTGATCACTACGGGTGAAGCCCCTAGCGGTGCTGCTGTTCTCCCCAAGACTGCTGTATCTTTCTTCGCTCCTGAAAAGAAGGGCCCCCAGGCCGGTAACTTCAAGCTTGTGCGCACAATCGAGAAGAAGACGAGCAACGCTATCTACTGGTCCCCCAAGGGTCGTTTCGTCGTTGTCGCCACCGTTCACTCTCAATCGAACTTCGATTTGGACTTCTGGGATATGGACTTTGAGGGTGAGAAGGCCGAGGGCGAGAAGGATCTGGCCGCCAACCTTCAATTGATGAAGACTGTAGAGCACTACGGTGTCACAGATATCGACTGGGATCCTACAGGTCGTTACGTTGTTAGCAGTGCTAGTGTGTGGACTCATTCGGTAAGCCCGTTGCATTCGTGCCAATTTAACTAAGAATTTGTTACTAATGTCTCCTTGCTAGATGGAAAACGGCTGGAACCTTCACACTTTCGCCGGTCAAACCCTCGCTGAGAACCCTACCGAAAAATTCAAGCAGTTCGTCTGGCGTCCTCGCCCGGCCACTCTTCTGAGCAAGGAGGAGCAGAAACAAGTGCGCAAGAACCTCCGTGAGTACTCTAAGGAGTTCGAGGAGGAAGACAAGTATGCTGTCGACATTGCGAACACCGCTGTTGTCGAGAAGCGCAAGCGCGTTCTCAACGAGTGGGTTGCCTGGATCCGCCGGGAGAAGGAGCTCGCGGCCGAGGAGAAGGATGCCTACGGCATCCCCGAAAATGCAGACGATCCCAAGGCTGCCAAGGATGCTCCCTCCGTCTCCGAAGACCAGGGCGAGACCGTTGTCGAAGAGATCGTGGAGGAGATTGTGGAGGAGAACGAGGAAGTTATCGGTTGATTGGGTCATGTCTTTCGTATCTAATGTCACTTTCTATTTTATTTTCCTCATTTCTACATCTTGCCTGTCGATATCCTCACCCTCTTCTTCGAAGCGCCGCCCGCTTCGCCTCCTGTGAGCTTGTTTCTGTGATACGTTTGGCTTTGTTCCAGCCCAAGGACGTTTGGAACTTCAAAAGTGAATAGATGTGTATTGCGTATCTCCCGACCGGAGAGTGTCATGAGCGCAACATTGGTAGCATGAGAGATGACCACCTTAAGCCGGCATATGCAAGGCTAACGAAGTAAGATGTTCTTGTATCAATTTTCATCAGTTGGTGTCTGCAAAGAAACGATTTTTCTATATCATTGATTCTACTACAATATCATCCCCTAGCCCATCACCATCAAAACCAGTGCCCCAATCCAGCCCCAAATCCACCCACAAGGTACAAACATTCGATCTGCACCACTTACCCCACTCGTACTAGCAGGAGGGCTTCCAGAGTCCGTCGGATACGGTCCAGAATACGTACTCGCCGACTGCACATTCACCTTAAAGAGCCCGTTCTCACCGCCAGCAGTCCTACTAGTCCCCATCACATTCCCAGGCGGCGAATACTCACAAACAACATACCAGCCCTGAGCCCTGGTATAGGAGGAACCCGTATCCCCGCTCTTCTCGTTATCATCAGTGCCGTTGCCGTACCCGCAGTCGATCGCCGCGCATCCAACATCCGTCGTAGCCCTCCAAACCAACTGCGTAAAATGCCCTGTCTCCTCGCTGAACCCGGTCGGTTTCTTAAAATCGTACAAGCGACGTTCGTCGCCCCACGCAAAGACCGCAGCTGAGGCATCCTGGTATCCGAAGGCGAGGTTCTCGCCGTATGGACCGTGCTATATATATATACCTCTCGCATAAGTACGACCAATATTTTAAACCACTAATGTTCCCCCGTACAACACCCCAACAAATAAAGTAGCGCACAAGTAGATAAGTTAAGAAAAGGAACCAGAACGTACAGAATGTTTCCATTTACACCCCTCGGCCCAATCTTTTGCATACAGAGTCAAGGTCTCGTTCCAAACGAGATCGCTTGCGTTATGCTCTTTGCGGTAGGTATTGCTCGACGAGAGGACTGTGTCTCTGAATACCTCAGGGGATGTGTAGGAGGGCGGATGTGGTGATGTTGGTGTTGCTGTGACCATGATTGTTGTCTGGATTGTTTGTTGGGTGTTTGCCGGAGTAGCGAGTATGAAGATGAGCATGACTTCGAGACATGGTGTTATGTATCGCATAGGATTGGTGTACTTGTAAGAGGGGATAGAAAACATTTCTGTGGTTCTATGGTATTCCTTTCTTAGGGCCGTTGGTCTTCCGGCCTTCTAAGCTGCTTTTGATGGTTGCGGGGTGTAGTGCTGGTATGGCTGGTCATATACTATGGCATGATTCAGCTATACAGCCACTGGACAGATCAACCTGGGCGGGGAATATGGCTGTCAGATTTATTTGCAGAATTGGATAGACCGGTAGACCTGAACCTGTGTCGATTTAATTCGATGGATACGTGCTTTTATTCATAAGTACTCAGTACTTGATTTCACTTATGGGAATCTGGACCAATACCAAAAATAACCTCAGGTAAGACCACGATGAAGTGACACATATTCCCTGCAATTCAACCTTTTAATAGGTAGAAATAGCTGCAGGTGAGATGGACACTCGAGAAACGAGTGGCTGAGAGGTGTTTGTTTGGTCACCAAATAATGCTTCCACAGCCGCTTACTGACGTCAGGCTTTTCTCAGGCGCCAATATTTACAAGAGAACGTAAACAACTTTTCAGGCACAAAGTAAAACAAAATATAAGACGAAAAAATAAAAGTCTACATTTAGGAGAGAAATATATCGGCCATATAATTGGTAATGTCGTTCAAATCGTAGTTTCCGGGCATTCCGGAGCCCTATAGTAACATATCCAGCTACCCACCGATGTATATATGCAACGCGAAATGGGGGTATTCTCCTTTAAATTTACAGGTCGTAATGCTGTGGGTATATTCGAAAGTCCCGTTCATCACATAATATTGCACCCAATCCCATACATGGCTCGTTCCACGTCTCGTTTCACCTGATACCAATCTGCTCGTCGTTCAGCGAACTCGCACACATCTTCAACCGTCCAGATTCCCTGAAACCGGTCCGAGTCTGCAATGATGGTAGCGAGCTCCTTAGCGTCCGAAGGGTCGATTAGATAGATCTGAGAGAGTTCACGAAAAGCTTTGAAATAGACAAGAAGCTCGTTGTTCCTGAATCTCTGAATAAAGTTGAAGTAGTGGTTCATATCGCTAGGCTATGTCAGCGAGGACAAGCAATTATGACCGAAGAAGAGAAGCCTTACCTGATGAGTCTTAAGGAACCCTCAACGCTGATTCTTTGACGTTTCAAGTGCTTGCATAGGGCAGTAAAAAGACGCAACCCCACCTCTTGGTTAAAAACGTCAAGTGTGCTCTTGTCGGTACTCCCAACGAGCATTTGGGTATGCGAGGAAACCACATCAACAACGGCAACTGCCGCTTCAGATACACTTACATCCATAGTCTGCCGGTACGGGTCTGTGGACACACTCGGGTTGAAGTCTGTCGCTAATTGCCGTGTTGCCAGAATATAGTCCACTTCTTCCATAAGAACATCGATTCCTTTGTTGAGTCCTGCAGCAACTCGTTCGTCGAGATTCTGCTCGAACTTCTTCTTCTCTTTCACTGCGGGGTCAACAAAGTCATTACGATCAGTCAGCTTTTTGCCAATGAGTTCTTGCTCATAAAAGACATCGACCATCTGGAGAATGAGATCACCAACATTCACCAGCTCCAGGAAGGTCACTAAGGGTTCAACACCCGACTGATCGCGGTCTCCTTGTTCGCGAGGTCGGTAGTTAGATAGATGGTCGACTGCTTTGTCAAAGCCGGCGATGAGATGACGATCCCCTAAAATGCGTACCAGGGTAACAAATATCGCCTCACATTGCTGCTTCGTAAGGGCACCTGTGTCCCCTCCAATCCGAACAAATTGAGCAGCTCTCTCCAGACCCGACTTTGCAGCATGAACTAGGCCCAAGGCGACTTCGATGCTGAACAGGGAACGGATACCTTCCATTTTCGATTTCATAATAGCTGCCTTGGCTGCAAGCTCCGTGGTAGGAGCTTCGGTTACAGGAGTGGCAGGCATGGAAATGGTTGAAAATCGGTTCTGGGCCTTCAAAGCCGAGGCATCGCCAGCAGCAGACTCCTCGTCGGACTTTGAATCGCTTGCTTTGGTCCCTGAAAAGCTCGGAAGGAGATTGACAGGGGCATGATGACTTTCTTGAAAGAAGTCAGGAAGTCCTTCTTATCGGCTTGTCTATTTATATTTGACATTAGAAATGACTCCGTCGAGGCTGCCTGTTCAGAAAGCTGCCTATCCCATTCATCCACTGCGGCCTCAGAGCGTTTCCGGAAATAATCCAATTCCTCCGCAAGGTATAAGTCCATATGTGGCTCATATACTTTAGCAATGACATGCTCCAAAAACTCTTCAAAATTAACAGCGGAACTTTGAATTGGTAACAGGGTATCAGCGAGATTCATGCATTGGGCGAATGTACTCGAAACGGCGGTCAAGTAAGATTCTATGTTGATGCGGTGCAATTCATCAAAGATCGCGGTCAGAAATGGGTACAGCACATCCTGGCCGACTTTCGCAATGAACGGCAATGCAACCTTTACCGACGGCGGAAAGGCGCGATTGATGATTGCGACTTCTTCATTGTAAGCAACACTCAAACGAGTAAAGAACGCCTGCGTCTGGTCAAGCTTCACGCGTTGAGATGATGTATCAATGCAGTCCCCTGGCCTACCGAAATCTGACCTTCGTGTGACAAGATGGTTATGGTGAATGAAGAGCTCAACAGCTGCAGCCCCACCGTTCAATGTGTAGAGAACGTGGGCATATTGCCGCATTCTATTTTCGATGTCTTCAGTTTCGTAACCGTGTCTGAATTCCTTGATAGCGGCCGTTTCAAACATTGAGATAGCTTCCTGCAGGTGTGACAGCCTCTCACACCAGCCCTCCGTTAAGTCACATTTGGCGAAAGCTTGCAATTGAAACAGAATCTGAGCTTGGTGCTGTGGGTCGGTATATTTCTTAAACAACAAGTTATCTGGAGAAGCTCCTGCAATGGCAATATCGTTGTAAAAAGGCGCAAGAGCAGCATGAACCTTGCCGTACTCATGCCGAGCTTCCCCGCGCACTGATTTAACCTGTTGTAACGCCCCCAAGATTGGATCGTCTTCCAGTTCGTTCGCACTTCCAGTGGCAGCAGGTGTAGACAGCGTTATTTGGTCGAAACCATCGGACAGTGATTTGAGACTTATTTGAGGTTTATTTTCTGTGCCTGCGCTCACGAGCGATGATCGCTGAGATTGCTCGGCAGCTTCTTTTTGCCTGACGCTCTCAACATTTGCAATGGTCCCAAATGTTTCTTCAACGTGTTTCCTAGCCTCCAGTTCATTCCAGCAGCCCATGCGTTTCAGCCACTGTACCCATCTTGTGTCATCGTAAGCGATTTCGCGTAAAAGTTTTGACGATCGTGCTACTCGAATCAAGTCGACTGGGGAAAGATAGTCTAAGACCGAGGACATAATCTCTAGTACTCGTTAGCTATACTGCATATTGCTTTTCCTTCGGCCAAGATCGAGCGTACCAGCTGGGAGAGCAGCCTGGAGACTTGGTCCATGGAGGCCATTCTGACCGAAGCCAGAACGTCTCTGCGCGGTTTCCCACCGACTCCTGTCCCATTGCTCACTTTCGGCGGCATCTTGGCTTCTGTAGTTATGCATCGGAAGAGAGGAAAGATCCTTGGGTTCTCGATCGAAAGGGTATTGCCGAAAGCTCGGACGGCCAAAGCAGTTCCCACCGACTAGTTGGCTCCGCGGGGCAATGCACACGATTGGGGCAAGAACTGAGCCTACTAGGTATCGTTCTGAGTAATAACAACTAGAGTATATGTTTATAGGTAAAATGGTTCATTGTAAAAAATGATAAAATCAAAGTGCGTAGGTCCCATGTACGGACCGTTGATGTCTTGCACAGCCATGACTATGGCGGCACTTAATATGGACCCCAGAGAGTCCAATGGTGGATCGGCGAGAGGCTTTCCCTTTCCGGTGAACCATCCAGAAGGGTCCAACTCCACGTGATCGAGGGGTCTAAACAAATGACCAGATCTAAAAATCATGATCTATATTAGAAATTTATGGTAACATGTGTTCCAGTTTGTATGTACAAATTTGAACAATTGTTAGAAGTCGGTGCCGCCAAGAGTGATATGTTCAATGTAATGTTATTGTGATGACGACAGATGAGAACTGCGCTTAATTAGCAACAAGGAGGATTCATTTCTACTTAGTAGGTAAATCTGCCATTGTGGTGGTACGTTTCTCTTTTCGAAGGATGAACCTTGATGCGGTGATTATAGAAAGCCCATATGACAAGCTTTCCAGAATAAGAATAGCATGATAGTAACTTCTTGAAAGATGGGAAGCCTTTTTTTCATCATCTGCTTCGCGGATACTGCTCGCTGCTTTATCATTTGCAGATGAGAGTTTGGACAAGACTGTACATGCACACCGCATGCCTCTCAGAAATATCACAGAAGCTACAAACAGGTCAGCTTAAGTCCTCATTGATATTAATGAACTCAGAATTCTATTACCATTTTGCTAGTCATATAAAAGAGAGACTTGGGTGGTGGTATATTGTTTGTATGTCACGGGAAAAGGCCTACTGACCTACAATTTCCGTGACTACAGTTGACCCAAGTCAACGACAGTTCTTCTCCATATTCTTCCAGTGTATATCATTTGATTTTATCCTGCCCTACCGTAAACCCCACACAACATAATTTTGGCTAGCTTCTTTCCATACATGATGGAAGTCTTTCAGCAGCCAGTCCTACATGTCGAAGCGCGTGTCAAAAACAACGGAGATGGTATCATAATTCGCACTGACCTGGTACATTGCCCCTAGTGTACCTGCCCTGATCTCTTAAGGGACTGTGAGGCTTAAATCAGCAGATTAGGGAAGAGGTCACAAAATGGCTAGTTGCCAATTTCGTCGTTCTCAGCCTCGGACAGGAAATATCCTCCTTTGGTACGAGTGCCTCCTCGAGAAGAAAAGTTAAACACAGTTATTAATAGTATATTAGAAGGCTTGAGCGATTCACATGCTCAGGCCATAGACTCTGTGGTTGTCACCGAATGCTCCGGGGAAGATATGGAAACCGGAGCATATAGACTCCAACAGGTTGAACTTGATGTCCAAGCGTATCAGCTTCGCGCACCATTAGAGCAAGAAAGCTCTCAACACACTCTACCTCTGGAGGAATCCATGGACAGCAAGGATGAAGATCCAAAAGCAAGGGTACTTAGCCTACCAAGCAGAGAACTGGACGGACTGTGGGAGTCGTATGGTAAACTTGATGACTTAGTATCCGCATGATATTAATCAAAGGTGTCACAGATTGCAGTTTGACCAGCCGCTTAAGTCTATGTTGCTTCGTGCAATCACCAGGATGGGTGAGGACGTTAACGGTGCTTGTGGGATAATAGCATTGGCTAACTGCCCGTTCTAGTATCATACTCTTCTCGAAAACTCAACAGATGGACAATCAACTGGAATAGACTGATTCTTTTGTGGGGACCGCCAGGAACAGGAAAAACAAGCCTCTGGTGCGCCAATCAAATCAGTCCCGGGTTATTCGAAGCTGAGATAGTTTAGTCGTGGCCTCACTCAGAAACTTGCAATACGCATTGGAAAACATTATCCCCAGAGCAAGCTTGTTGAAATAAACGCTCACTCACTTGGTAGCAAGTTCTTCGGTGAAAGCGGGAAGCTGGTAAGCAAAACCTTTGAGAACATTGAGTCGTTGCTCGAAGAGGAAGAAGATACCTTTGTCTGTCTGATCATCGATGAGATAGAAACGCTAGCGGCTCGAAGAGAGAGAGCGCTGGGTGGGAATGAGCCATTCGACGCTGTACGTGCGGTCAATGCACTTCTCACAGGTTTGGATAGATTGAAGACCCATGCCAATGTTGTTGTAATTTGTACGAGCAATTTGGTCACAGCTCTGGTAAGCATTCCGTCAAATTAATCAACACTACTGCACTGCACGCTCTGGGCCCGAGAAGCTGATGTACATCGCAGGACCAAGCTTTCCTCGACCGAGTCGATATCAAGCAGTTCGTACCATACCTGTCCAACAGAGCTATATACGGAATTTACAAAGAATGCCTGGAAGAATTGAGTCGGTGTGAGATCATTGAGGGAGCCTCGTTTGATGTCGTCCAAGTGAACCCCGATAATCCCCAGACTGCACTGCAATATGTGGAGCAGGCTACGGAGGCTCTACTGCTACCCACATTTGATGAGATGCTCCTCAATTATCAGATGTTTCCGGAATCTGTCCCCAAGCAGCTTGGTGATGCAGCATTGGAGAGCATGGTAAGTGATGTTCGTTTTCCTTTTTCCTGTCCCCATTTCTCTTTCTTTCTTGCACAATAATTACTGGGTATACGTTACAAAAAGGCACTTCTAATGCTATCATCAGAATCTCAGTGGGCGGACTGTTCGACGACTACCTGCTTTGTCTTTAGTGTTGTATAGTAAGAGTGCCCGATGCAATACTCGGGAGGCCGTCCATGCTTTGCGTATGGGGATTACGTCGGAAATTCAAGCCAAGGCGGAAGCACAATGAAGGAGAGACCACACAGAAGAAGAGGATGTGGAGTGGCCGGGAGTGCGAGGTTCTCATACGAACAATTGGCGTAGCACGTGTGTCACTAAGATCTTCAAGAAGGCAGTACTAGAAAGAGAGAATGAATTCCGAATAGATAATGGCATCATTGTAGTTGTCGGGATTGTTTGGCTGTCATCATGTGGCTGCTGATTTATGGATCGAATTTTGTTGTTCCGAAAAGTCGCGGTTTTCACCGAAGGCAGTTAGAGCCGTGATGCCAGCCAATCAGCGGGAGGGTTTAGCCAATTCCAAACCCAAGAGAAACTTGACCGTCCGACAACCTCAACTTCACCTCCAAAAGCACATTCTCCAGTGCGCACCACGACCCCCTCCCCCTCCCCTCTCCTTCTTCCTGGCTATCGTGCTTCCTGATTATCCATTGATCAGAGGGTTCTTAATATCATCAGTATGCTGGCACGTACTGTCTCGCGCAGCGTGCCCTTCCGGGGTATCGCTCGGCAGTCCTTGAACAGAGCATCCACGGTACGCACTTCTCCGGCATCTGACGTCCATTGGGCTCAAGATAAGAGGGCAATTGCTTTGGAATATGTCCTGGATGATTTTGCAAGGACTCACCACTGATGAATTGTCCAGCGTGCGTCTTCTTCCGCCGCCGGTGCCGAATCCGCCAGCTCCCCCTTCCACCTCACAGTCACTGCGTCCGTCGCAACCGCCGTCGCCGTCGGATCCGCCGCCTATCTCTATGGACAGGAAGCTTTTGCATCGACCCCTGCTGAGGAAGGGTGAGTGGATTGGTTACGATATTGCTCGGGCTTGGGCACCCATTTTTCCTCTCCGTTGCTCCGACCGAATCGTCATCTTAGCAGCCGAGACCGTGATATGGCTGACACATCTGAATTAAAGGTTGCATCCTACCAACTACCCTTGGGAACACGCCAAGTGGAACAAGACCTTCGACCATGCGGCGTGAGTACTCCTAGAACCGGATCGACCCTCTTCAAACAAATGGCAGTTCTTGCTTACATATTATTTCTCAGCCTCCGTCGTGGTTTCCAGGTCTACCGTGAAGTCTGCGCTTCCTGCCACTCCTTGACCCGTGTTCCATGGCGTTCGTTCGTTGGTGTCATGCACACCGTCGATGAGATGAAGGCCATGGCTGAGGAGAACGAATACGACACCGAGCCCAACGACCAGGGCGAGATCGAGAAGCGTCCCGGAAAGCTGTCGGACTACATCCCTGCTCCTTACAAGAACGAGGAGGCTGCCCGTGCTGCCAACGGTGGTGCTCTTCCCCCTGATCTTAGCTTGATCGTCAAGGGCCGTCACGGTGGCTGCAACTACATCTTCAGTCTGTTGACTGGTTACCCTGATGAGCCCCCAGCTGGTGCCACTGTCCAGGAGGGCATGAACTTCAACCCCTACTTCCCTGGAACCGGTATGTTTTGGCGAATTCCCTATGATGCTTGATTAGTCTAACTCCGTTATAGCTATTGCCATGGGTCGTGTCCTCTTCGATGGTGTTGTTGAGTACGAGGACGGCACTCCTGCCACCACCTCCCAGATGGCTAAGGACGTTGTTGAGTTCCTTAACTGGGCTGCCGAGCCTGAGATGGACGACCGTAAGAAGATGGGTGTCAAGGCCATTGCCCTCCTTACCGGTCTCTTCGCCGTCAGCGTCTGGGTTAAGCGTTACAAGTGGTCTCCAATCAAGACAAGGAAGATTGTGTACAGCCCCCCTGTCTCCCGGCGCTGAACGATATAACGGACTATATGAATTGCAAAAAGTGAGGGATCGACGGCCAGAGAACCTTGAATAATCGACCCCAACCTTATTAGGTTTGGTCACGTCGCCGTTCCTTCATCAGTCGCTCTTATGTATGGTCTGGCCTCTGCTTGTTTTGTTAGATGTTATTCAGGACACCTGTATCTGTACCCTAGATATTTTTCTCCTTTGAAAATCTTGTTTGAAGACCCAATGTCACATTTTCCTTTGTCTGCTTTCATATATGAATTTTGCTTCATTACGCGGGTAGACTCTTTTGCCTAGACCGAGGTAATCTGCCGATGCTGGCTTCGCCTCAGCAGTTGCCATTATCGCATTTCAACGCTAGTCGAACAGTTCTAAGGCAGGTATGTAACAAAAAGGGGTCGGGAATTGTACTTAAAATCTTAATGTTTTCAGCCTTTGGATTGGTTCTGATTATATATATATATAAATTAAAAATTGAACCATGTCCCCTACTCCATAGTTCGTTCACCATCTCCAAAAAGCGGACGAAATATGAATTCGTAAGAACCCCACATCGCGGTTCCTATGATATCCGACAGCTTCATCAACCATTGCGGACTACGACCATCCGGACCAGCTAGAATCCTTGAGAGTGTGAGCACCAGAAGCATAAGTGGACCCCATGTCACTAGGAATATCGACCTGCCCATCTTTTGACGAACAGTTGTAATACGATATGTTGGTACTCGAGAAAGATGCGCCCGATAAGAGATAGGAAGATTATGCTCGGCTGCCCCTGTGAGGATCAAGTTGAGGTAGCGAGCGGATGGCTGGGAGTACCCAGCTTCCGCACAGCGGGCCCGGATCGAGGGACAAATGAGTGTGTTCGCTGCGCATAAGCGCGCCGAGATATCTCGTCTAGGTTCGTGACAGGTGCGAGAAGGGTATGTGCTTTGAACGGTTTTGATTCTGGACAGTCTGGAATGGGCTGGGTTGGGTCGTAAGATTCGGAAAATGGATAGCAATCTATAACGATGTCCTTGTATCCATTCCCACCTCCTTCTGTCGCTATAATGCGAGCATAATCGGTAAGGGTGACCTCATACACAACACCGACGAGAGGATCGTCGGGTAGATAATCGTGCTCTCGTTGGGAAATGAGCACTGTTTTTTCCGATGCCAGATCGCCTTCCAATTCATTATCTATGATATGATCTGTATCCGTTCCCTTGCATGAGGCATCGCGGAATTGACTCGCTGCGAAGCAAGGCTCGATGTATGGCAGTCCAGGAAGATCGAAGGTTAATCGTAATTCGGGAACAATGACGTTGATCTGAGAGAGGGGCCGAATGCCACGCATGCCTAGGAATGTTTTCGAAGCCAAGTTTGAGCCGTAGGCCAGGTATAGGACGGTTTCCTGTGGAGGAGATGGTTTGCTTTGATCATCGTGTCGGCTGGGAAATTCAGGCAGGTGTTCGGAAAGGTGTTCATCTCTTTCGAGCGAGTGCTCTGCGACTGATGCTTGCCGTCTGGTAGACGTTGTCTCGGGAAGGTGACAACTCGTCGCTTCGGATGCTAAATTCTTGCTGCCGCCCCGGGGAATCAGTTCCCATAACCGTTCGAACATCCCACCCGTTGATGAGGGAGGAACGACAACCTCAGCGCCGTCTTCCTTGAGCGGATTTTCAGGATATGATACACCCATTTCGAGATAACCTATAATAAATTGAATGGGAAAATTGAGATATAGGAAACCTCAGCCGCACAGCGTGGGCGCTGGAATTTATGAGTTAGTCAACCTCGTGTCGGAGAATAAGTAGACCAATCATCATGCTGAATATCATGCTTCTCCTTCCACGTAAACACTTGGTCGCCTGTTTTGTCCATAGATGAATGTAGGTAGGAGTCGGGACGCGGAGCGAACGAATGCCGACTCGGATCGGATTTCTAAGGGACCGTGCTTGATTACAATATCAAACAGATCATATTGGTAATTAAGTACATGCATTGGTTAGTTATTGGCTCTTCTTCTGAGAGAATTAGTACGGATAGCAGTTGAAAACTGTCCTTATTCAACGGATATCGAACTGGGACGATGATAGCCTAAATACTATGGAATTTCCAGTAAGCTGCGATGGTGTCATCTGCGCTACTATGTTAAAATCTGGGGTTTTATGCTTAAGGTGTGTTGTGCCTGACGTTGGCTTGCGAAGGTTCTTGGCAGCGGCCCTGGTATTCTCCCTCTTGTTTTCGCTAACAACGATTTTGAACCAGGTGATGTTCAATAACTGTGCTCAGAATTTCTGGGGCACACTAGTAGTAAACTTATCATTTCGTGACATCGACACTCTACAAACATCAATAAGTATAGTATAGGCGAAAGGCAGTGCCTTTGATAATATATGAGGCTTTTCGATAGCTTCGAATTCGCTTATCATATTGAGATAGCTTTTAGATGATATAAGAGTCAGGCTCCAGGCTGTGGAAGCTTATGTCTTCTAGTTCTAGGTTATACTCTTCCATGGGAATCCCACAGGCATAGTTTCGAGCGAAAGATGTGGGGAAGCTTTCAGGCAACCAACGGCTCACTGGGACTTTCCTGAAGTTGTTCAAGTTTGTAGACTAGGTTTCCTGTTTGATGGACAGCATCATGTGATGGCACACTAACCTTCTATACACACACATCAGTATTCTTCATGACAATTACCCTTACTTAAAGGACTTTGCATTCATGATTGACTATCAGTCCATAAGCACAAAATGTCTGAAACGAGCTTAGGTGCGAATTTCGATAAGCAAAGCTCCGCCTATATGACAGAACTATCCTTAGTCACTCAACTGAGAAGTGTAGCTACGGAAGCCGAAGGAGACACAAGAATACTGTCAGTACCAGGAGCTCAAGTGTGTGTTTTTGTTTCATTGCTTGACAGTATGCAGTTTCTCGAGTGATATAGTCGAGCCCTTGTTACGTGATGAAACTCATCTGACAACCAACAACGTCAATAATATTCTTTCAGCTCTGGAAGAAAATGCCACCGAGATAATCCGATCATTAGATGTGACGTCTCTACAATGTCTAGCATATCTACTGCTCGACTCGGGAATCCATGCTGGCCAGGAACGAGGGCTATATCTTCTGCTGGTTTGTCTATGAACACCGTCGCCCTTATATAGAAGCTACGACAATTCTAACTTCAGATTGCCATAAAGGACGGGCCTCAACTGTGTGTCAAAGATGAATCAGCAGCTTTATCACCGACAGACTACTCGCGCTTGACACAGCAACGATTATTAAACACATTGTATCAAATATTTATCGACAGAGACCAGGACCATGGACTTAGGAGACTGGTGAGCCTAGGTGTTTCGCTCACAGTCTCAATCTCAATGATACTGAGTAGCACACCAGACTGGGAATTTACTCGCAGAGTTAATGCTCGAATCAGGGGAGGGAGTTGCCCTGTTATTGGAAGCCCAGGCGCAGGATTTTGCTGGGTATGTGATCGTTGGATAACAACCTTTTGTTCTTACGGCTCATGAGTATTACCGTATTCCTAGAATCGTCTCCATAGCTTCCTTTGAGGCTGACGTCGTATCGAAGTTCTTTGCAAGTGTTATTATTCGAATTATTCATCTCGCCGGCATTAGTACGGAATTCCTCTGGACCCCTGACGACCTATATAGAAGAGCATTCTTTCATACCACGGACATTCCCAGTGATGATATAGTAAAGTCTTACTGTTTATACACCCGTGAGACCGAACAAGAAGCGTTCAGGGATGAAGGCGCGCGGGTAGGAAATGTGAAAGAGACTGATGGACAGGCGCATTCCTGCTACATCTTGCGGTCCATCCATATTGATGGAAACGTGCTCGCAGAGGGCAGTATACTCACTAGCTTGATTTCTTCTACACTGCTATTCATATACGTTGCGGATAGCACCTATAGAAAGCGCTTCAACTATATTGAGATCTCGTTAAAGTCCAGTCCAAGGCTAATGAGATCATCAGTGAGCCAGAGGGAAGGGCAAGAGTCACTATGTTTACATCTCGAACCAGCGATTTCAATATCCAAAAATGGTAGAAGGCAAACAATGAAGGAACGAACTCTTATCTTACAGTCCAATGAAGACCTTGCCGAGCTGCGTAAAGCACTCATCGGGATCTGTGCAGAAACCAAAATGGATATTTCAACAAGAGAATCCAAACCTCAAAGATCGTCATCAACAGTGGTGTCGTTGGACACTGCAGAGGTGGTAGTTAGAAAGTCTAAGCGCCTTTCTGAGGCGAGGGCCCGAAAAGAGACATATACTGCCAAGCATACATTGCCACGAAGTATGTCCCCAGCTCAGGCGTAAAGCTTCCTTCGGCAACCAGGGTATCGAATGCTGTCAGTTCTGATGGTCCTCTGAGAAGAGATGTGGAACATGAAGTTATTGGTGGAGGTGAAGGGTGGGTGTCGAATGTTACCGACAAGAAAACCATGAAAGGCCTTCAACTGAGCAGTCCCTGCCAGAATGAAGAGTATAACTCCAATCAAATGCACGATGATCTAACGGTATCGAAAACACTTTCTGACCAGGATGGGGGTATTCATACTACCTCGCGGGCCAAGAGGCCTACTAAGCGACAACAAATTAGTTCCAACGAGCCAGCTGCGACTGCAAGTCAAAATAGGAAACTAATGAGCAGGCATAAGCCATGCACCTTGTCGTTCAACAACAGAGATAAACCCCGGTTGTCTAATACCCAGGAATCGTTGATATTCCATCCTCAGAGAGCTTATAGAAAGGTATATGCCACCCATCGTAAGGAACCCGTCGACTGGGATGAAGACCTGCGTCCGAGCGGTGAGTCAGAGCTTGGCAAGGGGAACGAATCTACACCGGTGTTTTCTCCAGCTTCTGGAGAAAGGTCAGCATTTGATAAGAGACCGAGTAGTGGACAGAAAGTGATTCGCGAGGCAAGCTCCTCAGCCGGGAAACGCCAGAGGCCACCAGCCAGAAGTACTGGCAGTGCTATTAAAGGGACAAACAGTATATCGGGGCCTATATCCTACGACATGAAGCTTAATAACGCGACTGAGGTGCCTAGATATAAGGGAGGACTAAAGACCTTTGAGGGTATTGATATCCGAACCGAAGATCACAGTAGCTCATCGGACAGTGAAGATCTCGTCTCTGGAAAATACGTAACAGATGATAGTACTTCCATTGAGGCCTCAGCCAAGGGTGTCACTTCTTTGCTGGAAATTGAAGAGCACAGACAGCGTGCGTCTGAACATACCCCTGCCCTTCATAGCGGAGACAATAATGCGGACGATACGCACAGTTATGTCACAGATGCCAAAGATTCTGGGACCTCACAAGCCCATACAAAGCCTCAGTTGCTAGGGACAAAGCATTTAGGGAGAGGCCAAGGTATTGGTGGAAAGCTTGCTGCAGCTTTCCAACTAGAGGAAATATCATCACAATGGAACCGATCTCACAGTCATAGACACGATGCATCTCCTGATCGTAAGAGTCAGAGCAACCCTGAAACAGCGATGTCATCAATCCAATCAATGGAAGAACCTCCCAGAAACAAGCTACTCGTCGAGTCAAATCTAGCAAGGACTTGTGAGAATAATGACGGTGATTGTGTGATCTCACGAAGCTCAGATACAGATAGGTCACTGAACCGTTCTATGGACCAAAAACGCCCGAACGAAGTACAAGAAACAAATCAAAACAAGTGTCAGGGAATTGTAAGAGAGGTGGAAATGATATCGGCTAGCATAGAAACAGTAGCCACTGAGCTTTTGGATGACGGAAAATGGGAAACGAGGTCCAAGTCTGCTACCAACTTGACACAAAGCCGACGTCATGCTCAACCACGCCACGGAGATACCTTGATTAGTCAATCTGACCACAGCAGTCGATCATGCATCGGAAACGACGAGCCTGGTCCCGGTTCTGAGAGCTCCGGTATAACGAGAGCAGCTACATCAAAACACAGTGGCCCAGTTTCCGCCAAACCCCTTCTGCGCCACGATAGCCAACAGGTGCAAGACCACACCGCGGAGCATCAAAGAATGACACCAAGAAAGAGTATTGTCGATATAAATGGAAGCCCGCGACTCCTATCACATATGGAGAATAAAATTATAATTTCTGATGGTACAGTACATCGCGAAAGCCAATCTCGGCAGCTGACACAAAATGAAAAGCAAGTTCCCGCTAGGAGCATTGATGATGAGTCTGGCTACGATGGAGGTATCGAAGAGAGTTTCGTTGAAGTGCCTGGTACTAAAAGTAATCTGGCTCACACTGCGTATGGTGAGAGCTCTGGTATGCGTATTAAAAGTCCGTTTGCACAAGGACCCAGTTTACCCAGGAACCGTGAAGACCGGACAAGGGGCATGCACCGAGATCGTTTTAGAGCAGCCTCAGTGCCTCATAGGCAACACATACGAATCGATATTGCAGGCCAGGATCTATACCAATCTCCGTCGCAAGGAGAGCTAGCCTCTATCGATTCTAACTGGAATACAACGGTAATATCGAGCAGCCGCGGCAGAAGCCTCAAACAGACCAAGGGAGATACAACTCTACAAGCACTCCAAAGGTCTACGCAGGAGATGTTACTCGACTCTAGTGAGGTGAGTCATATGGTGCATGATAGATATTGGACCTAGTGCATTTGCTAATCGAGTGGAGCGTCTTACGCGCGGACTGGAGACTGAGAAACAAACAGTCAATGATGTCTTGGAGACATATCGCCGGCAGTGCCACCGCGTGCTGGATCAACTTTTCAAGGCACAAGAAGAACGAATAAACCTATGCAAGCAGCAGATGGACATAATCAGAGACCACCATGCAAATGTCTGTCAGGAGATAATCCATCGCTTGGAAGCGACGGAGCGGTGTGCTCGGAAGAGGACAAACTCGCACTTAAGCCCAGAAGGAAGTAAGGGGAAAAAGCACAAGAGCGCTTGAAGGTAGCTGTCTTCTCAGGGTGTGCAGGCTGCCGCACGCATGTCCCGAAAGAGTTGTTGCTGCTCGCTAGATTGGCAAATTTATCATTATATTGGAAAGAGAACAGTGTAAATCCTTGATAGCCATTATTACCACCCTGAAGGGAGGTTGTGAACCCAAATGGGAGCTCTGCATTCCACGTAGGTTGTACTGTGCGATACCTCAGAGGGATATCGACCCTGATACCTAGTACATTGTAGACGCTCCACCCGTTGGATATGCGGAATTAGAGTTGATGTAGGCGGAGTCCAACGGCGAATGACGATCCAGCCAATGGGGTTGACCAACCTGAGGCATGCACTAGGGTCCGATCGACCGGATTCACGTGCGACACAGTGACCGATGAGGCAAGTATGACTCGCCACGGGCGCCGACATAGGAGTTGTTACCCAAGAAAATATGATCCTTCAAAATCATATTTTTTTTTTCTGAACTCCCTTGTTTTGTTGTCATACCCTTCTAAGATACCCCGTTCGGAGTTTCATTGCTTCGGGCTCTTGTTCTTTTTCCTCACTTATTCCGAGATATTAATACCGTTGGTCTTCTCAGAGTGCCCCTCTACCCCTCACAATTGATCTCTGCAAATCTTCCCCCGCCGCCCACCATGTCTGTGAGTTAATTCTCCGCCACGATTATACCAAATTGTCTGAATAGCTACTAACCTAGTGGCACAGTTCTTCATCGAAAATTCTAATGTAGGGGATACCAACCATTTGGAGGACTCGAGAAGTAAGCCAATCCCCTGATTGCGCAGTATGAAGTCGCATCACTTGCTAACCGTACGCAGTTCGAGGATACAACCCTCTGACTCCCCCCAACCTTCTCCAACATGAGATCGCTATGACAGAGGCCTCCAGGCAGACGGTCTTGCAAGCCCGTCAGGAGGCTAGCGCAGTCGTTCATGGCACCGACACCGACAAGCGCCGTTTGCTGGTCGTGGTGGGACCCTGCTCGATTCACGATCCGGACATGGCCCTTGAATACTGCGACCGTCTCTTAAAACTGAAGGAGAAATATCAGGATGAGCTTTTGATTGTCATGCGTGCCTACCTGGAGAAGCCCCGTACCACCGTTGGCTGGAAGGGTCTCATCAACGACCCCGATATCGACAATAGCTTCAAGATCAACAAGGGTCTGCGCACCTCTCGTCAACTCTTCGTCGATCTGACAAACAAGGGCATGCCCATTGCTAGCGAGATGCTGGATACCATCTCCCCGCAGTTCCTGGCTGACTGTCTCTCCGTTGGTGCGGTTGGCGCGCGGACGACCGAGTCCCAGGTCCACCGTGAGCTGGCTTCTGGTCTTTCCTTCCCCGTTGGATTCAAGAACGGCACCGATGGCTCTTTGGATGTTGCAGTGGATGCCATTGGCTCGGTCAAGCACCCCCACCACTTCCTCTCCGTCACTAAGCCCGGTGTTGTCTCCATCGTCGGCACCGTGGGTAACCCCGACTGCTTCGTCATCCTCCGTGGTGGAAAGAAGGGCCCCAACTACGATGCTGAGAGCATCGCCGAGGCCAAGGCCAAGCTTTCTGCGCAGGGCATGGAGCCCCGTCTCATGGTGGACTGCAGCCACGGTAACTCGCAGAAGAACCACAAGAACCAGCCCAAGGTGGCCGCTGTGCTCGCGGAGCAGATCGCTGCGGGTGAGACCGCGATTATGGGTGTTATGATTGAGAGTAACATCAACGAGGGTATGCTTTCCATTTCAGTTATGAGTGCTGGAATCTTATCGCTAACTGTTATCTTATAGGTAACCAGAAGGTCCCGCCTGAGGGTAAGGCCGGCCTCAAGTACGGTGTCAGTATCACCGATGCTTGTATCCACTGGGAGGACACAGAGGCTGTGCTTGAGAACCTCGCCCAGGCCGTCCGTACTCGGAAAGAGAAGCTGGCGGTCAATGGCGCTTCCAACTAGATCCACACAAAAAGCTAAATTTTCGACTTAATCTTTCTAACTGCTTGATTGACCGAGCAGAGCTTGCATTCTGAGCCATATTCTTCCGGTGTTGGAAAACGGGTTGGGCCATGATAGCGTTCTGTGAATAAAAGTACGATTTCGGTTTCAATACATGTTGATATACCATTGAACGAAGAACACTTTTCCATTGTAATCAGCTACGAGTCCATCCGCCCTACAAGAATAAGCATAAATAATTTGACGATCCGGCTGCTAACTGGGGGTAGATCAGACTAGCTAATAATAGTAGTATTGTGTATTCTACGTTGTATGTACTTAGCCCCGACATCTATTACCCTAGAAATCAAAATATCCACCAGATAGTATTCCTCTCCACTCCACCCTGGCACAGTTGCTATAGAGAAAACTCCAGATATCTCAACGCCATAATAATATCCAAATACCCCTATTACCCTCCCAAAGCGGAAATCCCAGATTACATACCCAACGACAAAGGAACTAGTCTCTGTATTTGCCCTCACCTGCAGCACAAGACTAACAATAACGTACAAATTCCAAATCCTCCTAACCTCCCTGGTTCGTCCTCTGTACGAACAACCCAAACACCCCAAACCCAACGCAACCCCCCGTTTTTTGTTTTCTTGAAAAAAGAAAAAAAAAAAAAGTCGGATTCATCCACCTATCTCTAGAAGGCTACTACAGCCTCAACTTCCTTACCCTCCCCTCAAAAATCACACTCCTAGCAGCCCCCCTAGAATGAATACACCGTCTCCAGCTCCCGCTATCTAATTCTCAATACTTTCGTCCTAGGTATGGAATCCATCACCGCATTCATCTGGGGCCTGGCCTCCTTTCTCCTCCCCTGCCTCACCGCCTCCAACCATGAGCTGAGGTATCCGGTCCAGGGCATCGTGTGCCTGGACTAGCTGTACAGACGTGTTGTATTATGCGAATGCGGGCTTTAATTCTGTGGTTTTTGGATGTGTTGGGCTCGGATGGGGCTAACTTCTGGTTGGGGGTAGGGTTGTTGTTTGTGGACGGGCGATTGGGGATGTGAAGGTGAGGGATGGGAGGAGGAAGATGTTGGGTTTGGATTGGTTTGAATTGTTGGGTTATGTTGTGTTTTTATAAGGGGGTATAGAGAGTTCTGGATGTGAGCTATTCTAAGTGCATGGTTCTCTAGATGCAACCTCAAAGAATATAGAGAATGTTTATAACGATATTTTCTATGGTTATGCGCATGTGTGCTCAGTAGTATGAATGCCAATAACAATCAATAGCATATCGATGGCTGTCATTCTTGGTCTAGGGGTTTATTTTGGGGGGCATATCGTATAACTGTCGCTAGAGTCTAAGAAGAAAACTAAACCAGTTTTTGCAAAATTGTATCGAGCTGATTATATAGATTCTTCCCAAAATAAAAAGACTTGTTTGTGGCTCGTTGTTTTTAAGCATAAGTACATTCGCTCGCTACCGATCTGTCGGCTGACTCTGGGATACCGAAGTCGACAATGCGCGCTGCGAAAGATATTCGCCGTTTGGTGGCTGCATTGCTAGTCGTAGTCTGGTGGATGTTCTGTAAATCCGATAGATTTTCTCCATCAAGTGTCGGATCGTGAGATTGGTAAGTGGTAGACTTTGGTTCACCGAAATCTCCTAGTGTCTCGATGTGCTTTCGTTTGCGCGACGACAATGGAGGTGACAAGCTGATATAACTCCGCTGGAGCATCTCAGCTGAAGCGACGCTGCCATCAGCTCCAATACACAACGACTTGTAAGGAATATCGGCGGCTTGCTGGGTGCTACACGTGAAGGTGTCTATGTCAAAGATGTTCGTTTGACCGGATGCAGCAAACGCCCAAATTCGAGCGCCACCGTGGGCAGCTTGTAAGGACAACTCGACCACATTGTCCATCTGCCCAATTTCCTTCCCGTAGATTTTGAATGGCCACATCATAGCTGTCGGCCTGTAGCTCACATTAAGGAGGAAGTCCCAGTCGCCGTTTTGATTCGGTGCGAGACTTCCACGACCATTTCGCGACCTTTCGCTGTCGAGAAACCAATCTCGTGCTAGATCACTATCACCCATGACATTATCTCCTTGTCTTTCACGTTCTATTTGAATCACATTGAAGACATCCAGCGGGACGGAGTATAAGACAATCCGGTCTCCATAGGCAGCTACCACCCGCAGGCCCCAGTTCAAGTCCGAACCAGCTGCAAACACCGTAGGCGCTAATCCCTCTTTTACAGCTCCCGACGGACTTTTTCCAATGGTGGGATACAGATAAGAGCTCTCGTCAGACTAGTAGGACCACCGAAAGGAGCATCGGAACCTATACAAAGCAGACTAGTGCGCGGTTCGATGAACAGGAAATGTAAACCATCTTTGATAGGAACAGTTCTGTAGTGGTGGCCATGTGTCGCCCTCACTAATCCGAGAGTGCTAGTTTCTCCGGAACTCCACTGAGCAAAAGATTGGATATCGGCCAAAATATGAAAAGGACAAGCTGCCCGTTGTTCACCAGATCGTGCATTGTGACATTTACAACCTGGTAATCCCGGACCAGCAAGGGATGAGATGAGCCGCAGTTCTGTAGGCGTCTCTGATCGACGAGGCAGGAAGTGCAGGATTTCCGATGGCTGCGACATAGCAAGGCGTTTTCGGCAATCTTGTTTCGTCTTTGCGTCAATCCAACGCAGCTCAATACAAGAACCAGAGCCGAATGCCACGCACTGACGTCCGGGACAGACAGACACACTGCGAGGTGGGTCTTCCGCAGAACCTACATCTTGATAGTAATTAAGGGAAGTAATTTCCATGGGTTGTATAGAGCCGTCTATTATGTCGGAGGTGAAACCAGCGGATTGTAAGAGACTTGGTCGAGCAGCGTCAGAAGGTACCAAGTCGCACATCAACCCTGAACGGTTACGGAATAGCGCCGCTACCACGAGTCTGGGAGTACTAGTATCAATCGTAGCAGACATCACTTCAGCGGGACAAGTAATGATGGTAATGGGAGCAACATCCGCGTTTTTAGGCACAGACGGAGGGAAGGGACTCTCATGGTTCCGGCCAAGCAGACGATAAACGTAGATTTTGCATCTGCTGGTTATTAGTAAATAATTGCCGCAATCGCTGAGACAGAACTTGGACACAGCTACGGCACCATTCTGGTTGACGCTGAAATTCGTGGAAAACGAGCATGATGACGCCCGGGTGGAATCCTGCCTTTGGGATAGTTTCGAAAAGTCAACGACCGCGGTTATTAAGAAACCAGCCCTCTCCACGTTCACCTTTCGGCCGGAAAGGATACATTCTGTGGCGAAACGCCGGCTCATCTTCCACACAGTGCTCTCTTTGTGGTGTTCTAAACCCTGACGTTGCATCAGGCAGTCCCGCTGCCAGGAATTCCACCAGCCTGCGCGTTTGAGCATACTTTCCAGAAGCCGCTCATTTAGGCTCACTTTCATCCACTGGGAGCACGTCCGTCGAGCATTATCAAAATCATGAGGGGCCAACATGAAGAATATTTGCAGCAATATTTCAGGCGGTACAATATTCGCGGCAGGGCGAGAAACAGGCATTGCCTTGTCAACTGTTCGAGACCAAGACCTGCAGGTTAGGCGTAAAGAGTGATGGGTTTCACGAGGGATAAAATCGAGTAGCCTTTTAGTCACAATTCGCGGAAGTATAAGCCCCTGTGAGATACTCTGGGGTTTGAGATCACTTTCTGACCTCAAACCAGAGCAAAATACCGAATCCAAATGCGAAGCGTTAATTGAACCCGACGCAATTTTATTGACGGCTCGCGCATCACCAGGGAAGTCATTCTCAAACATAAAGTCAGGACCCATGTCGGGCAACGTCAATGCGATGGTTTTTATGGATTGTAATGCAAGACTAAGCGGTTTCGACCGGATGTATAACTGAGTGCAACTTGAATGAACGAAAAGAATTGGCGTTTGAGTGAAAGTAGAGACGGAAAATGATTAGAAGTAGTAAACAAGTCTATCCTTGCCCTTATGAATTTGGAAAATATATCATATCGATGAATGCGGCTTTCACCGTGATAAGCGATTGAGCTGCTCCGTTGAAGTTTGCTCACTGATAGCCATGCAGTGTCAATTGCGGACCTGCACCGTTGGCCAGCTATTCCAGGTTTCGTTATGGCTAGCCTCTCTTTCCTATTCCATAGATGTACGGTTCCTCCAAGCGCACTGTGGACAAGGTAGGAAATGAATGCACTAGTCCAGGAGATGTGAGGCGAAAATACCGGATGGTCTTATAGCTGTGGACGAAAGGAGAAGCCGAGGAATGTATGGAAGAGACAGTGTTGACAACTCAGGACACCGGAAGCAAAGCCATACGGGCACTGTTCCATTTTATCGCCTCCTAAAACTCCATGAATGGCATTTTTACCGCCCACAATAGCCGTCTTGACGTCGATATAGGGTGTATCCTCCTGTCTTGAACCTCCTCAACCAAGAGCGGTGACGAAGAGTGGGCCCAATTTTGGGGAAGCTCCATGGTTGGATGGGAACTCCGCAATAATCAGCCATAGCGAGGGGCGAGGAAGCAGAAACTTCAGTGTGGTTATCGATTGGGTTCATGAAGATTACCATCACCCATGGAAGTTTGCGAGGATAAGCCGGTGGTGCCGCCGACTGGGCGTTGGAGCAAGTGGAGATGAACAGACAGCGTGAACGAGTCAGAAGTTAGAACGAACATCGATGGCTTCCGGGCGGAGATCCGAGGCGAGGATCATAAGCGGGTCTCTCAAGAAAGGCGACAATTATCAAGTGGTCGATGTCGATCTTTTGTGTGATGCCTGCATGATGATGAAGCCGTTGCATTCCTCGCCTGGCATTCACGGAAGTAATAGAAATCATGAATACTACGTAGAATAAGAAAAGATTCGATCGCAACCACGTGCCAGTCAAGGTGAGGTGCGCCACACAACGTCATCGGCTGGATGCAGTACATCGACCTAACTTGTACTCTACAGCATTAAGAAGGAATACGGAGAGTTCCAATCTAGATATCAAAAAATAACAAGTGCAACATTGAAAGACTGTATGTAGTATGTGAGCATTGTCGGCCACTGTACAAAAAATAAAATAAATAAAGATGAGAAAAAAAGAAAAGACCAAAGCTGCATTGATTGCCGGGTATGGCTTCTCACTCCGAACAGCAATGATCAGGTAATAGTGATCAATCCGGGAGCGGTATATTCAAATAGATGCTGGCGTATATGGTGAGACAATAGGCAGCGGAAACATGAAGCAAAATAAGAACAAGACAGAGGTGATATTAATAGTAGGAGGGCATGGCATGGCGTCGTATATCATAATATACTCGGGGCATTGAAAGCATTGATATTAACAAAGGGTATAATATCTATGATGAACAAAAGTGAAACAAACAAATACTAGTAAATAGCGGAAAGCTTGCAGGAAGAACGAGATGGGAGGGGGTGTAGAGTGGTTGGGTACCCTGGACCACACAATGCATGGTCTGGTGTTTCATGTACCTCATATAGACCCAGGGTATTCGCCGACGTTGTGGCCAGGAAGCCAGGCGCCATCGAGAGGCATAATGAGACTGGGATTGACATATTTGTTCAGCCTGACTTCTACTCCTTGCCTACCAATTTGGATTGGCAGGGCGTCACGATCGAGGCCGGATGGAGAAGAAAAGGATGAAGGTGAAGGGGAAAGGTTTCCACCGGCATCGCGGTCAATACTCTTCAAGGCAATGAACTTCATCAGAGGCTCATAGCTTCGAGAGAAGAAGTAGCTGAACCACACCGTTGCGCCCAACAGGGGCACAAGGATCAAGGAACGCGTGATAGCTGTGCGCAGTGCGAATACCCCTATCATCGCAACTTGGAACACCATCAAGCCTACCAGGACTCGACTGCATATCATTGGCCATGCACGTCCGGTAGAATGCTGCTGATGGTCCATCGCATACAGGAGCTGGTACTTGTAAATGAAGTTCCCGATGGCAAAGTATACCAGTCCAAACAGACAGATCAACCAAGAGCTTGGAAACACGCTATACACCACACAAATGATTAAGATGAGGATCGTCTGCGGGATCGAGTACCCGTAACTGAAAGTAGGTGGCGTAGACAGTTCGGCATACTCTCGAGGTGTCTTAGCTTAAAGAAGTTGATGGGGTACATTGCAACGCTCCCAAACTCCAACAGTCGGAAGGGAAACATTCCCACACCTTGTAGGACTATAAGATTGATGTAAAATGGTGCAAAGTTTTCAAGCGAATTCGCCAGCGCAAACGCGATGGTAGTGGCATCCTGAAACGCATCACGAAGATGCTTGAATAGTTCGTAGAATGTCGTTGCCGTTCCGAAGACCGTAAAAACAAGGAAAAGGTTGAAGAAAGAGAAGAAGAAGTTCTTGGAAATGACGGACAATTCAACGTCACCACGCGATGTCATTCCCTGATGGTTTGAGAGCCCTGGTCGGACAAACAGTTAGCACGTCATCGGTGACTAGGCCTTTCAGCTAGTTTGACTTACAATTATATAGATAAGGGACAGCAATAGTCATCAACGAGAGAACTAAAGTCGGAAGACCGGTTTGGACGAGGGACTTCGCAATAGGGTTGCGAGCCAGCGTCTCGGCTAGTTGTGGGAATACCTTGTGTAGCGTCTCCAGTTCCAGAAGATACGCAAGAGGAACAAGGAGTACCGACCAGAACACGGTCAAGAAGCCAATGACGCCCGTGATGGACCAGGATTGCATCATTCGCCTCGAACGTGGCAAGTATGTATTCTTCCACACGACATCAGCCGGCGCCGGTGCCAACCGGGCAAGCAACTGCATAGGGTGAGGATCGAGGATGGCCTGAACAACCATCTGAGAGGCAAAAATTGACTCCATGGTCACAAATGCTAACTCAGTAGGGGGATACTGCTTCTGGCGCGCCACTCGGATCTCTTCATCAATCCTCCGCAGCTTTTCTTCATAATAGTCTATCGCATCAACGCTCTTATACCGTAGCTTTAACGGTCCGTACCACAAGCGAATCGTGGGACGTTGGTGTGTGTAGTCCGCAATGTGGTCTCGTCCACTCTCTGAAAGAAGCTGTATGCGCTCGCTGTCATCTTCGGAGAACAGGCTCGAACCACGCGGCTGATGATGTGCCAGCGGTAACGTGCTAACATTTTCGGTCTGTCGTTTGTATCCGACGTGCTTCGTCCACGCTCGTTCAAGATTCCGTAATATTTGCAATCGCTCGTCGACGAGGTGGTCTAACTCTCGCCAATCCCGGCATAAAGTAACACTCTCAACTTTTCCAACCTGAAGACCCTCCACGAATTCAATGATCTTCTCTTCTGATGCCATGTCCTGGGGAATACCTGAGAGGCGGATAGTCCGGTCGGTGGTGCTAGTCTGACTGCCGAGATACTTCTGTCTGATACGAATGATTTTGTTTGTCTCCTGGAGTAGCATATAGACCGCTAATCCGGTGAATATGTATGTGAAGACCACGTACATCCACAAATAGTTCGGGTCAGTCACGGGCTTCTTGTCCTTGTTCCCACCGAGAGCATTATCATCGTTGTCATCCCAACCTGGGATCCCCCTTTTCCCGGTATACTTGTAATGGATCGGAAGTATGATAACCACGGCGAACATGAAGACAGCTGACAAGAATCGGATCGCAAACTTGAAAAACGACAAGAACTACACCATCGGATGTCAGAGTTAGTGCTTGGTTGACCCACTTGTGCATGGAATGCAACGAAACTTACAACAAACGCATCCAAGCCCGCAGAGTGCAAAACTTCCTCTTCAGTTACCCTGTATAGCACTGGTATCCACCCAAAAAAGCTATCAGGAAGCTCCGGTAAGTGTGAAGCTGCGCAGCGTTGTCGTCTTCGTGCGGCGTACAGCTCCGTCCATTTCGGTCGCAGGACCTACACAACATAGATTCGTTAGAGATTATTGCATGTATAGCTTACGAGATGTAAGGCGTACACAGAAAGATAAGAAGGCACTTAGTCCCAATGTGAAGCTAATAATCAGCTGGGTATACAGATCACGTTGCCCTTTTGCTTGGTCACCCCATGTTGGCTCATGGACGCCCCCAGGCTTGTCACTTTTAACTGCAGTGGTTATTATGGCTGCCGCAGCAGCCTCTGTCAGAGACATGTGTTAAGAAGTAAAGTCCCGTTGTTAAGTCTCCTAGGCGACACAGTTTTCGTCAATGCATATGGGAAGAGTTCGGCACTTTCACGGTACAGATGCGCAAGCCAAAACAACTGACGTCAGGGTGGGTTCTCGCGTGATGGGTACACCGCGTCGCTGGCCAAATGACCTTCTTTATATGAGAGCTGTCCTAGTAATTTTCGCAACGGAGAGTCGCCTCTGTCTAATACCTCAGAAAAGTGTGCGGTAGATTCTGCGGACTCGATTGTGCTCAAACTTCAATAAGCTCTTTGGCGATTCCAAAAATGGCAAGCTAAAAGATGAGTTGTGCGATAAGCTGACTCATCCTGAAGTTATGTCGGCCTTGGCAGGCACTATGCAAACTATGCGATACCAACGAATCCATGATAGCTGCTAGACAAGACAAAATGGAAGGTAGTAATTCTACGACAAGTCATATCCTCAATGAGCACCCTAATCTAGTATATACGTGTATACTCATCTATAGTTCCATTGTATAGAGCGAACCCTTGCTTCTATGATGTTTTCGTGGCATATCTTGAAGCGTCGTAATAAAGATCTAGCAAGCACGCTGCCGACCATGCTTGCGTGGGCGACTATCATTGAAAAACGCATTGTTAGCAATCCGAGTCATGTCATTATATTTGAGAAGTGGAAGGAATGGCGTACAGAGTCAGAACAGTGTGCACCGTCTTTATTTGTCAATTCTGTGAGGCCCTTCCAAGGGCTTTCTCTGAGTGCTCGCTTGCACCCTTCTAAGCGACGAGTTACCTGCTGATAAGTTTCTATTTGTCCCTCTGGCGTTGTTCTGCGAGCTAGATCAAAGTGTAAGAAGGCACGAAGAAAATATCCTCGCTGCCACACCCATTCGGGCCCCTGGTGATAATTTCTGCCTTTGGAAGTGGTAAAGTCCGTAGAGTCCTCTGAATTGTTATAGTTGGGACGATAGTTGAGATCGGATGGGTCGAGGGTAGCCATACCAACAGGACCAAGAAGAATTGAGTCTGCAAGCGCAAGTGCTGTTAGAGCTTTGGAGGGATCAAAGAGATCCGGTGACACAGTCATGGCAATAGGGAAATTGGACCGAAGTTGGTAGTCTTCATAGGGCTTGCCGGATTTATACAAATCCTTGTAGATGCCACGGCGGTTGACAATCTTTGCATCAACATCATATCCACTGTCTTCATCAGATCTCACGGGAACGTAATAACAGCGCTCGAAACTGTTCTTGATCTTGGCGGCCCAATCCTTGAACGTAACTGATCTGCCATCTCCAATATGTACCCCTTCGTGCGGGTAAAGTCCCTGTTCATATAGCTTCCCCACCCAAGTCAAAGCACTGTAGAGAAGCCCAGTAATTTCAATGGCTGCGCCATCACGAGGGGTACCAGGAAATCCTTTGTTTCCGGCTTTCTCACTCTCCCCCATCTTGTCTTGCCAGGTCCCACAATTGAACTGGCTACCGCCAAATATCAGACCTGTCTCCCAGTCAACATTGACGTCGATTTGAAAACCCTCAGGCTTCATTTGCATATCAAGCCCAGGGCCAGCGTTATACTCTTTGAATGACAGCCCTTGAGCATGTCGTTGAAAAACCTCCTGGATGACCTCCGTTATCGTTGAATGCCGAGAGTATGCACGAGGGTCGTCGAAGGGGAACCATGTATCATCGTACGGCAGAAACCTCCTGGGAACTTTCTCGCTGAGGAGCTGTATACCATTTGGAACCATTGTGGTATAATCTTGAATAGCCTGGAGGAAGAACCATACAGAATCTCGAGAATTGTAACGAGGAAGCTTTCCGCTGCTCAACAGATTAGGGATCATCCCGTGTTTGAGGACGCTAGCAAACGCGAGAATATGCTCTTTGGCATCATCAAACCGGCCAGTACAGAGGAGCAAGCCTCGAAGAGATATGAAAACGTCTCTTCCCCAGCATCTAGCCCAGTCCACAGCAAAATGGGGCAGGCCGGCCGCAAGACTTGACACTCGTTTCGTAGGCCATAGAGATGCGGATTTTACGTATCCAGTTTGTTGGACGCTGACCATGCCCAGTTGATGCACAAACTCTTGTCCTTTTTGTATATTCCCTCCTAGAAGCCGAATGCCCTGCTTCCATGCAGCGTTGTACGCGACTTGGAGAACAATGGCAAAATACCGTGGGAGGAGAAAGCTGGGTAGTCCACGAACGGCATTGAATTTGTCCCGTAACCAGGACGCCGGGTCGCTTAGAGCATTGTACCCGTCTTTTTGTGCCACCTTCTCCAAACGCTCTATGATATAATCAAGGGCCCACTGGCCTTGCCGGAGATGAGCACAGAGTGGATGTCCTAGTTCGTTGTATCGAATGATGGTCTCCAGGACGCTCCACCATCCCTGAAGGCCTGCATAGACCAACGGCCCATGATTGGGTATGGCATATACTCCGTCCTGACCGTCACTGGAATCCCTTTCTTCGGCTTCACAGCGGTAGAGCACAAAGTTAAGGTCAACTAAACTGAGCTTTGAGAATGCCTGATCTGCACCTTCAGTAATGTAAAGATCCAGCCCTGTGGAATGCTCAGCTGCCGGGATGGACGTTTCGAAGAGGGCAATTGACCCCGCTATAAAGGAGTCCAGAACAGAAATGATGGTATCATGACCGTGTTCCTCAACTCTAACTGCGTTAGTCTCTCGAACTCTGCTAGGTAATCCCCGTAAGAATTCCTTATCCGCCAGGACTTTTGCTATGGAGTTTTCTCCTGCTTCAACTTCCAACATCCATGCCCCAAGTGGTTTGACTCGCGTTCCGGTGAGGTGAGTTGGTGCTAGGATGGGATGGCCATCCTGGCCCGGGAAAGAGGTATGTGCTATCAAAAATATGCCCCTTCGTGTCTTAGGGTGAACTCTATGGACTGTAATGTACTCTCCATCATGGTGAATATGTGTCTCATCGTATCCATCGGCTCCCATCATAGTGTGAAGCTCATTTAGGATCTTCTTGACGCTCCCAATGCCGCCCTCAGAAGCCAACTCCCCCTTAGAGGGTCCTGAAAACGATGAGGTATACAACCGTGTCTCGTGAACGAGATCAACTAATTTTGGATATACTTCATCATAGCCCATGACGCTTCCAGTAGCCGAGGCGCACATTGAAACTAATGCAGCATTGGGTAACGTATCTACCGCTGTTCGCTTTTGCGCCGGCATTTCATTATCGTGTGTACAATCCATGAAGAGAGCTTGGACAGGATACGGGCGTATGTGAGAAATGGCTTCTTCCTGGTTATCAGCACTTGCAGAGGCTATAGCGTGACTGCTCCCTGCAGTAGGCAAGTCAAGGTCAAAGCTGCCAATGGGGCGTCCTCCATGGCGGTGTACAAGACGACTTAGTTCCCCGGTGCTCCAAGCCTGCATGGCCTCTCGAATGAGTGCATTAATGCCTAGTCTCTTGACGAAAACATAATCAGCTTCTTCGGAGCCCGTGAAGAGCTCAGCGAAAACTGTCAAATTGGGTCGAACTTTTCGTGCCTCATCTAGCAGGTACTCTGCGACTCCTAATGGCGTTGAGTGGCAATTGTCAATCCGAAATCCCGAAAAATACTTAGCCATCAGACGAGTGTATTTAGTCATGAACTCCCAAAGAAATGGGCTGTCTTCAGGGCAGTTGCCATATCTTAGCTTCACACAATCCCCCCACACAATGACTTCTCGTCTCAAATAGGCTTTTGAGTCCGGTCCAGCGTTATCCCGCAACGCGTCGGCATTCCATATCCACCCGTTATTCACAAGCGCAAGTGCCGTCGATTTGTGCTGCTTCGTAACTTCGTTGACGGGCAGTCTTGTAAAATATGTCTCAATAAGCGGGCTCTCTTTCGTGACAGAACCAAGCTTGGGTCCATGATCATCTATTCTTAGGTATTTGATGCGATTGAAGACTTGCTCCATTATTTCGGATACGTCTGCGTCGTATTCTGTGTAAAAGGGCAGGTTCACTTCATCGAGCAATTGAGTGAACCTGCTCTCTGCTTCCTCATGGTTGGAATCTACTGGACCAAGCAGAGCAGTTAAAATGGCCGCACCGAGGTGGTCATCGACTGCTCGAGTAAACCTTCCAAGTATGCTTTTGGATGTTGGGATTGCGTGCTCACGGATGAAGCTTGCCTGATCCTTAAGAGTTAGGTTCTTGAAATCCTTCAGAGCAAACCGTGACCATTGATCGCTTTCCAAATCGATCTCTGGAGACTTGGCCCATTGGTCAACGATCCTTCGGGTGTCCGCTTTAACATTAACAACGTAGTACTCCCATAGCCTCAAGCTGCCGATAACACGTTCACGCATTACGTTCATCACAACAATCAGATCGTCGGCAGTCTTAAATTCCGTTGGAAGACCCAGGGTTTGAAGGTCTTCTCCAAACTGCAACAAAGCAGTGTCGAGCTCCAATGCCGCCTCAAGCCATGGGGCCGTCTCAACGCTATAACCAGCCTCAGGGTGCTCCTCAAGCCATTTGCTGTTATTAGCAGTATGGTTCCATACAACATCTGTTAGTGACAAGAGCCCATGGTCTACTTCCATCTTGTTAACCATTTGAGCTATATCATTCTCCCCCTTGGGGAATAGGGTCTCATCGAACTGTAGTTGATCAAAAATACTGTAGGGGGAATTCGAGGCTCCGCGTTTCATCAAGGGCGTAAAATGGACCATATTGTACTTGCGCTGGCTGATTCCATTTAAATGATTTTCCCAATCCGTTGGGTATGCGCCCATGAACTTAGAGATCACGGAGAATATTGAAAGAGCGTTGAGAGGAAGATCACGGCCACCAAGAGTTAGTCTTGGTGCAACATCAATATAGTGCGTTGGGGTCTTGACCGGTTCGGACGTCTCAACCGGAGCAACGGAGAAGTCTGGAAGTGGAGAATAGGCAGTATAAAACGCGAAGGATCCTGGGGAAGTGATTGGAATATCGATCTGGATGTTCTTGTTGAAGTCTGGATGTAACCTACTTCTGCCTCAACAACTGAAAAGCCAATAAGTCAGAGAGAGGGATCGCTTTACCTGAAACTCCGGAATTCCGAGCGTTTGAAGGGCTCCCCGTCCTCCGGGACATTCACCCACAGCATTCCTTCCCTACAGATCGAGCTGCTGCCTTCGATAACGAAGCGAAGCGAGTATGGAGGATTGGTGGGTGGAGGAAGGTAGATATAGCCCCCGGGCACATCTGGGGAGCCATCGTCTTTCAGTGGAAGAAGATAGACCTGGCGTGGAGCAGGCATTGTTATTTGATCAAGTTATCCAGAGGATGAGCGCCAGTGCACCAAATGCGCGGTGGAAACGAAAACAGGAAGGAAAAACAGAAACTAGCTGGCAAGCTGTGACGCAGGTCTGGATGCTTGAGCCCAGTTGGAGGCGGGGATAGTATCGGCCCGGCCGATGGAGTTGTTGATGATCGCTAGAGATACGCTGATCTAGCCAATGTACAGGAGAATGAAGAGTGAGGTTTTGACGGAGGAAGAAAACCAAAATTAAACACGGGCAATACAAACAAAGCCAGCTTTTCAGGTTTCTCATTTATGTTCCTGGGCGCTTTCGGACCCCGCAGGAGGTCTGACATCATGGAACGGTGCAAAGGCCTCGACCACAGAAGTAACCTTGGACCTCCGGGCTAGTAACGTGTCCAAGAAACCCAATTTTAGTATCAGGAGAAAAGTCAATCCAGAATAGCCAACACACACAAACACACACACAATCAGAATGGATCATCCTTCGTTTTCAAAAAGGCATAACGTAAATCTGGGAATTGCTCTCTATAGTCACTAGTCTATGTGCATTTATAACATCCATACCCAAAAACATGAGAAAAGACCTACCGACAAGTCTCAAGACGTAAATAATTATAAAAGAAATATGAGGAGCAGGCATCGTTGCATCCTGCCACCTCACAATTTGGCTAAGACTGCCTGACTCGCGCCACCACCATTCACTCCTTGCGATTCATGCGAAATAGATTCCGGCTTGCTGTAACGAAAAGAAAACAGATACCCGCGAATTAATAACCGAAATAGAAAATCATGGGAGACAAAGCATCAGGTCCTATTTACCGCTCAATATAAGAAGGGATATCCTCAACAGACATAGTGCCTTCCAGAATTCCTACGAGAAGTCAGCGACATGGTCTTGACACGCAAAAAGGTTGGCACTCACTATAGACGGCCGTCAACAAGGGGTATTCGTCTTCAACGCCTTGGTTCTTCAAGAATTTGTTCACTTCGAGCGCAGTCAAAGTGCCCTGGAGTTTCTGGCCGTTGAGCTCCGTCTCTTCGACCTTTCCGATCGGCTGCTTTCTTTCAATGCTCAGCTTGGCGCAACGGAAGTTGCGACCGCCACTACAGCTAGTGATCAAGTCGGCAACACCGGCACTCTCCTCGGTGAAAGTGCGAGTGTTGATAGTCGCACCGAAGAACATTTCACCGAATTTGACCATCTCCAACAGGCCGACTCGCATGACGGCAGCTTTGGCGTTGTCACCCCATCCCATGCCTTCAACCCAGCCTGCGGCGATAGCGACGACATTCTTGAGCGCACCGCCAAGGGAAACACCTGCAACGTCACTCACCACGCTGATATGGAAGTAGGGACGGTGGAAAAGCGTCTTTAGGACAGCATGGTCAATGGGAGGATACTCGGAGGGCAACGCCTGCAGTTTAACCTGAGATAGTTGTCCCGAAACGTCCTTGTGTGTGAAGTGAACCACATCCAGAGTCGATGAGGAAGGCGAGCGATTGGGCGAGGGGGCTTTCGAATCTAGATGGGGAGGATCGTAAGCAATGCTTGACTCAGACCACTTCTCCTGGGCAACCTCGCTGGCGATGTTTGCGCCGGAGAGGGCGCCACAGTAGATCCCGAGAATCTTGCCAATGGTCTCTGAGAAAAGGCTGATTCCATCTTCCCGCACATCGACACCCTTGATGCAAGAGATACCGCGCGCATATGGCAGAATCTTGCCCTTAATCTGCTCACAAGTCTTGATAATGAACTGATGAGGCAAGTTGAAAACAAGGATAGTGCTGTCCTTAACGGAATCCTCCAATGAGGGATTGGCGTGCAAATTAGTAGGAAGGTTGATTCCTGGTAGATATTTGACGTTCTCATGTGTCTTGTTGATGATCTCTGTTAACTTCTGGGGACCTTGGCACAAGGGCGAAGATGGGTTATAGTGAGGGGAGGTCTTTGGAACTTCCACATTCTCTTCAAAAACCCACATCTGAACATCCTTTTCGAAAATGGCAGGGTTGCTAGCGGTATTTTCAGCGACGATCTTGGCAATAGCGGTGCCCCTTTCAAATGTCAGTGCTGTCTAATGCCAGTTACCGTTGTCTCTCAGCGCACTTACCAGTTTCCTGAGCCGATCACCGTGACCTTGTGTTTGCGCCGGTACGGGGTAAGAGAACTCATTTTGGCAAAACTGTCCACTGATGTAGTATATAGACGTGAAAATGAACAAGAAATGAGCCGAGTTGGGCTTGACTTTAAAGCCTTTGAGTAGATTGAAGACGACGAAAATGGAGTGGAGAGTGTCTGTTGCTGGGGAAAAACCGGGGACCGAGGTTGATCAATTGTAGTGGCAATTGAACGAAGGCAAGTCCGGCGAGATAAAAGATGTACTGGGGACAGCATCCACGTAGTGCTGCGAATAAGACACGAAAACCGTCACCAGAGTGCTCGATGTGGCTCTCTGATGTAAGTGGAAGACGATAAGGCGGGTTGAATACCCGTGAATGTGGATCTTTTTGTCCCGAGAAATTCGGAAAAAGAACGAGGGATTTTAGGGGAGAAAAAAAAAAAAAAGGGCGATCGGGTTCGGTGAGTGCTCGGATGTGTCACACTAACAAAGTAGTGTGGTGCTTTGAGTCCCGGCCAACTATCTTGTTCATGTGCCACGGCCAGTCCTCACTTTTTGATCTAAATCACTTAGGGATAGACATACCCAAGAAGGAAAAACCTCTCTTAGTCGGTCAGGAGTCACGTTGGCGGTGAGGCCAGGGGATGCCAGGGACATGACTGAGCTAGCATTCAGGCTAATCCAGAACAGGATTAGAAGCACACACCCATCGGAACCACGGGCAGAATTATTATCGTGAAGTCTCGGAGAGCCCGGCGATCTGATCAACTTTTTTCGGCACCACCGATAAAAGCCCATAATGGTAAGCCAAGCTATCTCTCACATGAAAATTGGCCATCTCTAACATCTGCATGCAAAGGCCCCTGTGAGATCAATCAAGAAGCAGCCCGCTGTGAAAATGCCGGCTTCAGGGAAAGGCGCTCTTCCCTCGACAAAGTCTAGTGCTTTCAATGATGATTTTCGGACATCTAAGAAAGACAAACGCCAAATTAAACATGCTGCCTTAATGTCCAAAATAGAGAAGAACTCTCAAAAGACCACAAAACGTCGACGGGCATCAAAGAAACTCGTTGCAAATCTTGAATCGCTTGCCGATGCCCTTCCAGAAACCGAGGTTGAAATGAACGATGCCAGCAATCAGGTGAACGTCATTAAACAGAAAACGCTGAAGCATAAACCTGGCGCTATGAAGCGTAGGCAACGATTGGAACAAACAGAAAGAGATCGTTTTGCGAAGAACATGGCACAGATGTCGACGATCGATGCGACTACTACACCAAATACAGAATCGGACAACCAGGCGGACTCTGTGTCGAACCGTTGGGCTGCATTGCGCAGTTTTATCTCGCAAACTATGGAACAGCAGCCTGTCTTCAAGGCAACGAAGTGAAAGTCCCTGTCTCCAAGAAGTCCAGTCAACCCCTCGTTGAGAACAAAGCTCCTATGTCTCGACAACAAGCCCTCCTTGCCTTAACCAAACCTACCATCAGTATTGCTTGCAGCGACTGTACATGGCAAGTAATAGCGATCAACAGCTAGGACGGTATATTGATTACAGGCCAGAGTGTGTCACCTCAATGTCGCTCCTCTTCTGTTTGGGGCACTGCAAGCTTCCAAAAAGAAACGATACGCGATTTACTAGGCCGGGCTTAAAATCGCATACCAGCTGCCAAGTTCAAGAAGTAAAATGGGAGTAAAGAATGGATAGCCCTACGCCGCAGAATATCGATACCCTTCCTTCCAGATGATCTTAGACTATGCAGTCTTGAAGGCTTCGTGGAAGCTTAGTGGATCACACCGCTGGCAATGCCCGATTTTCTTCTTAGATTCTAATAATGAATGAGATATTTAGGCAAGTTAGCATGGCTTGGTTATAGATATAGTCTCCAGCTGTGAAGGCGGATAGCGTCGGCTGATAAGCATAGATCACGTGCTGCGGGGAAAGCTATTATCTGACTCCATCTTATCTACTATCGGCAGCGTCATCATCTCAACCTCCAACTACTGTGTACAACTTAAATCTCCACACCATCGTAATAAATCACTCCTTGAGTTTTCTTATTATACTGTTCTCTACGCCTATCATTTGCGCTTATCCATTTACAAGTCATTTCCCGCCCGGTCATGCTGTGGCTGCCTCTACGGCCCAGTGCACCTCTCAGGGCGCACCACCATCTCATACTCCGTTATCGGCGCTCACCATGTTCAATCGTTCGTCTCACGCAACGTGGCTTCGCTAGCTCCTCTGTGTCTTTCCCGACACTTTCCCAATTCAATCGATCCGACTTTACAAATCAGCCCTGGAGCGGCAGCTATGAGCCTGGACTGCCGACTGCTGGGCCCTTGGGCTCTACCCCGGCTTTCGGAGCTCCCCGGATTACGCCCAAAACATTGAAGCAATACCTAGATCAGTTTGTAGTTGGACAGGATCGTGCCAAGAAGATACTCAGTGTCGCCGTGTACAATCATTATCAACGTGTGCAAGAATTACAGCGGCGTGATGAGGAAGCGGTCGAGCTGCTGGCGAAGCGCGCACGGCGCGAATCTGTTGACCGCCATCCTGTAGAAGGTAGGCCCGACAATAGCTGGAACTGCATGCTCATCTTAGTGATGCACTGACATATATAGCAGATGAATTTCCAGGCCAACAACGGACTATCCGCCCACCACTTGACTCGAGTTCGTCCTTCAACCAAACCGAGCTCACAGATTCGTCGGAAACACAGCTGGAGAAGTCCAACATCCTGCTACTGGGACCGTCTGGAGTTGGGAAGACACTCATGGCCAAAACGTTAGCTAAAGTACTATCAGTACCGTTTAGCATTTCAGATTGCACACCGTTCACGCAGGCTGGGTACATTGGAGAAGATGCTGAGGTCTG